GAATTCACAGAGATCCACCTGCCTCTTTCTCCCAAGTGCTAGAATTAAAAGCATATGCCACCACTACCTGGTGAGCCCATTTTTAGTGTGTGTGTGTGTGTGTGTGTATGTGTGTGTATTACTGTGTCACGTGGGATCTGAGAACTAATATTAAAAACCAAGACTGGAATAAAGTGATCAGATTGCGGACGGCCACACCTGACTTGTGTGTTGAGGAAACGTACCACCCGTGTTCTGATAGTGTGTGCTCAGGCTCTTTTTAAGTAATCTTGGAGTGGAGAGAGGCCTCAAGAAACCCGGGAGCTGAGCCTCCTGCGTCACAAAGGACATTACTAGGTCCACTCTCCGGAGAGTGTCCGCTGGGCTGTCACAGCTGCTCTGCGTCGTGGTGACAGTAATGCACCACTGACCACATCAGTCCTTGCAATCACCTCTGGGCTCCTCCTCTCTGTCTAGGATTCTCTGGGTCACAGCCAGCTCATCAGGTCTCCAAGTGGGGACTAGGTTGTTGTGTTTATCAAGGTGACTCACCGTTTGACACCTGGCGTGTGTTGGTTGCACGCATTGGGAGCCTGGACAGGTGGGCTGCTGTCCAGGAGTAATGACAGTTAGGGCAAAGCAGGCGGACAGTGGCAAATGGTCCTGACTGTCATAGCAGAGGAGGGGACACCAAGACTGGATGTGGGCCAGAGAGAGAAAGATGTCCAGATACCCGTGGGGCCTGGGGCTCCGGTGTCAGGGTGGATGACTCTACTCCACGGGCAAATGTGGGGCTGTCCTCTCAGGCAGGAGGTGTATGTTTTAGTCTCCCTCATTGACCAAATGTCCTCGCTTCTTGTGTGGAACATCTGGCCCAGCTGCCTCTCCAGGGCAGGCCCATCACCTCCTTCAAGAGCCTCTCTCTGCTTCTACGAATGGACTTGACTGACAATTCCACAGGAACGCAGCTGGAGCTTGCTCTGTGGGCTCACAGATTTTGTGGGTGCCCAAGTGGAGGCACAGGGAGGCCAGAGGCCTTGTCTCAGAGCCATGGCAGAGCGGGGATCTGAATGCAAACAGGTCAACTTCTAATCACATGCGGAATCATGTCGCTCTACAGGATGGACAACAAGGTTGGCCTTGGACAGGCTACTTCCCATGTCCCTCTGTCTCCTCTCTGCCCTCTGCCCTCTGCTGCAGCAGCTAGTACTGCCTACTCGCCCAAAAGCAGACTAACTGTCGGGGTGAGGGGTCATCCCTAGTTTGAAACTAGCCTGTTCAAGGCCAGTGTACAGATAGCAGGAAAACAGGTGGACACGTGGCCTCCCGCTGCCCTACCCCTAGGGTCATCCAGACAGAACTGCTGGGTGCTCCATGTCAACATCCCCTTCCCTCCATTCTGCATCTCTCTGGCCCTATGGGTGGCCCCCAGGTCACTTTGTAGGGCTGCAGGCTGGGTCACTGGGCCTCTGGAGGGAACTAGCATGGTGGCGGTTCCCTTCCAGGGATGGCTATCTCTTCAAGCAGATGGTTCTAAAATAGTGGCCACTCAGGCAAGTTCCCTTTGGCGTCTTGGTGGCTCCGTGGTTAGAAGAGGCCCTTGCTTCCCTTCCCTTTCAGGACTGGAGGGGTCACTGTTTATGTGGTCACTGAGTAGTCAGAAGCCAGGCACGGTCTGAAATCGGAAATAGAGGCAGGCCTACCTATGTCTGGGGTTGGCCATCTTCCATGACCTTTCACATGCTTTCCTGATGCTGGGGTCATTGGCACCGGGATCTTTGTGGGGTGTGTGAGCGTGGGCATCAAAATAGCTTGTTTACAGCCCTGTCTCCGCCTCCGCTCACAGCTATATCAGATCTGCAGAGTTGGTCGAGCTGGCCAGTGTGGCACAGACAGAGGCCGGAGTCCTTCCCGTTTCCTACGCCGTCCATGGATTTTGTTGCTGGGGCCATTGGAGGTATGAGACAGGGATAGAGGGGCGCAGGAGCTGGGGAGAGCTGGGGATGGTATATGTGACAGGGGAGAGAGAGCCCTAGGCAGTTGGGAGTTGAGCAGACCCCTGGTGTCGGCTATGGATGCCGAAGGGGAGGCATGTTCCCACACATGGCCTTGAGGTCCAGGCAGGATGCAGAGGCTTGTAGGGATCCCTGGCTTGGGAACAGAAACTTGTCCCTGTGGGGTTAGGAGATGGCTGGGGCCCTTAGTGTGGGTGAATGAGTTCTGGGGGGCGGACAGGAGGCTCGGGGGGAGAACAGTGCACCCAGGAGTTCTGTTGCAGGGAGCGGGACTAGAACATAGAGCAGGCCGGCTTCTTTGGTCCCCAGTGGCTGAAACTGTGTCTCTCCTGGGGAGAGCTGACAGAGGTTAGAGGTGGCTGCCGCAGGGACTCCATGGGCCATCGATCCTCAGGCTGTGTAGCTATTTTAAGTGAAGCACCCTTGGCCCTGCAGTGCTTGCGAAACAGCTGTGGGTGGCTTTCTCACGACTGGAAACAGCCTGGGGACCGCAAAGACAGAACCAGTCTTGGGAGGACTGGGTCCTGGCCCTGCCTGAGGCTGTCTGGCGTCTTGACCTGTACCATACCAAGGTTGGCTGCTCCTGGGAATCTAAGCACCACAAGGGGCCACACCCTCCTCACAGCCACAGGAAAGGCCTTTCCTTGAAGAACTCTAGATGTAGAGGTGGCCATGGCATGGGGGGCATAGCAACAAGGCCATGTGACGCAGGTTCTGATCAGCATGTTTCCAGGCAGAGGCAACCAAGAGCACAGTAGGAAGGCATAAGAGAGGAGGGCTTTGAGGGACAGATAGGAGTTGGTGAGGGCTTTGAGGGGTACATAGGAGTTGGTGAGGTGTTTGAGAGACAGAGAGCTATTCTAGCTAAGTCTCCTGTCAGATGCTTACTTTATACCCTCTGGCCCCCCACCCAGGCATTCATTCTGCTACTTGAACCCATCCCTGGACACCACCCATGGGCCTTGTCATCCTCCATGGTGTCCTTAGCATCCTTGCACTGGGTTAGAAAACCCAAGGCCCTGATTGGCTCCTCAGCTTCCTCAGCGCTATGCTGACTTTAGATGTGGAGCTGGCGTGGCAGGGCTAGGAGGGCAGTGTGAATCTCCTTGTCCAACGCCAGAGTGGGCACTAGGGGCCCCTCTGCAAGGTGTGTCAGCCGCCCTGTCCGTCCCTGTCTTCAGTTAATCCATTCACGCAGAGAATGATAAAGAGCGGGCAGTTCCCAAGGCTATGACCAGCAGGTGGCCCCAGTGCTTGGGCCTCTGTGTGGCCGTTAGAGGACAATGGTAGGGAGTTCTCTTGGCCAGGAAGTCAAAAGGCAAGGGGTTGTGATTTCATAGTCCCCTCCAAAACGTGACCCCCGTGACTTAAGGACATCCTGTGGGCTCTGCCAATCAATCCCACAGCTGGGGGAGTCTGTCTGTCCAGACCACAGCTGTCCTACACGTAACTGTGGTTCCAGGCGATCCTGGCCCTTCAGGGACCTGGGTGTGTGTGGGGTCTCGGCTGTTCCCCTGGCCTTTACTCGGAATGTGCCCCCCCCCACTCCTGGCTCCCACGCAAACCCTGCACAGGCGAAGCTTGAGGGCAAAGTTTGCCTGGCTCAGGGACAGGGTCAGCCAGTGCAGAACCAGACGTTCTCCCAAAATGTGACATCAGAGGGGAGGCTGAGGCATGTCCTTGACCTGGGCAATGGGGATAGGCACTGATGGGCCAGGAAAGAGGTCAGGAGATAGTGAGCAAGCTTGCCATCCTGAGCCTTGGTTTCTCACCTGCAAAACAGAGGCTGCAGACACGTGGAACCCAGGTAGGGTCAGCGGGAGGTGCGAGAAGGGGGCTTGCTTAAGGCCCAGGATCCAGACTGAGGCCAAGTACACAAGCCCCCTTAAGCAAGCCCCCTTCTCCCAAGCAAGCCCCCTTCCTTCTCCCATCCCTTGGGATGGGCGGGCTCTCACTGCTGCCAGGACCACCTCCTGCTGCCTCACTGGTTCCTCTGATTGCCTTGCAGGAGTCTGCGGTGTTGCTGTGGGCTACCCTCTGGATACAGTGAAGGTACAGCAAGGCCCTACCTTGGTTTAGGTTACACGCAGTGGCTCCTGTAACCAGCTCTGGTCCTCAATTAGAATGCTAATAGGACCCAGCCCTCTCCTACTCTAATATCTTCAATGGTTCCCTATGGTCCTGGGGACTGTCAGTCTCCCTCACCCTGTGCCTCAGGGGTCTCTTTCCAGAAGTGATTCACTGTCCCTACACAGTCTAAAGCAGCATGCCTGACGGTCAAGGGGGCAGAGCCTAGGCTTCTACTGGCTCTACCCCAGGCCTAGGGCCAGCCCTTCCTGAAGCCGTCTCCCTTTCCCGTAGGTCAGGATCCAGACTGAGGCCAAGTACACAAGCATCTGGCACTGCATCCGGGACACGTATCGCCAAGAGCGGGTAGGACTGGGGCTCCATGGTAGGGTGGCATCAGGGGCTGGGACTTGCTAGTGATGCCCTTCCCTTTGAGCCCTAGCCCTCCAAACAGGTATGACTGGGCCCAGCCCCAGGATCCCCAGCACCCCGAAGTCTGAACCCTGGGACCCTATATGGTACAGAACCAGTCCCTGTCTCCAGGGGAGGGGACACAGGGGAACCTGGGATTCTGAAGGCCAGGGAGAAGCCCATCCAGGGGAAGGTCTTGGGGACACTTACGGAAATGAGCTTGGGACCTGGTACAGGCGGGGATCAACTGAGCATCATGCTGGTTCCACAATCATGGCCAGTCAGCTGTCTCCTCAACTCCTCAAACATCAGGGCGAGTGCTAAGATCCCAAGGGTGATGTCTGGAGGCATTGGTGGCGAGGGAGATGGTGGTCAGTCCCAGATGTCCAAGCCCCGGGGGATTCTCTCTTGGGTCTTGTCCTTACTTGATCCCTATCCAACAGGTGTGGGGTTTCTACCGAGGCCTCTCACTGCCTGTGTGCACGGTGTCCCTGGTGTCATCTGTATCTTTTGGCACCTACCACCAGTGCCTGGCTCACCTTTGTCGCTTCCGGTACGGCAGCCCTGACGCCAAGCCCACCAAGGCTGATATCACGCTCTCAGGATGCGCCTCTGGTCTTGTCCGGGTGAGGAGAGGCAGTGGAGGGTGGAAGGGTGTCAGAGATACCCGGGGAGGTTGAATCACACACATCTCCCAGCAGGTGTCACGACTGAGGCCCTGTGAAGGTAGAGCCTACAGGGCATGGAGATCGGTGTCGAACCAGGCTCTTGCTTGGGACGGGCTAGGCTCCTTTTGGTGTCCCTCCTAGTATGCTCGAGTGGAGAGGAGGGGATGACCATAAAGAGCCCTGTCAGGGTGTGGGGACCCAGTGAGGTAGCATTTAGATGTCTGTGATCTCCCAGCTGCGAGGTCTCCATCTTCAGGGTGTCCAGCCAATGCCTGAACACCATCTAGTGTTACCATAGACACCGGCACACCTCATCCTCAGTGGAGCTGGAGCGTCAGGGACTACAGATGGGAACAGGGCAGGCAGGTGCAGCTGAGGTCCTTCATAGGCCAGGATGGAGCATGGATAAGTCACTCAGTCCTTAATCAGAGCCTCCGCAGGCTTAGGGGCTAAGTGTTACACCCGCTACACACAGTGCAGAGATAAATGGCTGATAAGCCTAGCCAGCCAGGCTTGACTCTTGAGCCTTTCTAAGCCGCCATCGCATCTTCAAGAGGTGTGATGAAAATTAAGAGAGACCGGGGTGTAAAGACCCCAGTGCAGCCTGATCCATTTGAGTCCCACAGTGACCACCATGCCCCGCCTTTAGCAATATGACTACAGTGCAAACAACTGTGTCAGCTATGCTCTTGAATTTAGTCACGTTTACTTAGCACCCGGTATGTGTCAAGCTGGTGCTCCCAGATAGGAGAGATGAAGGAGACCTTGGCTTCAGCCTTAATTCGGCTGAGCTGGCTTTTAACCCAGCACCATCAGCAACCTGGGGCCAGCTCTCAGCACTGGGTCCTAGAGCCAATGGGAAGGCTGGGTCTTTGAGTGTGTGGTTTCTCCTCTGTCTCAGGTGTTCTTGACGTCACCCACTGAGGTGGCCAAGGTCCGCCTGCAGACACAGGCCCAAGCTCAGACACAGCGGCGGCCCTCAGCCACCTGGCCATCAGTGACTCCTGCTCTGTGTCCTGCACTCACTGCGTGTCTGGAGCCCAGGCCCACATACCGCGGGCCGCTGCACTGTTTAGTCACAGTGGCCCGCCAAGAGGGACTTCGGGGACTCTACAAGGGCAGCTCAGCTCTGCTGCTTCGTGAAGGTCACTCCTTTGCCACGTACTTTCTCTCCTATACCATGCTCTGTGAGTGGCTCACCCCCGCTGGCCACAGCCAGCCAGGTGAGTGACAGGCAGGCACAGGTGGTGGGGTTGGCCAGGTGGGATGGGGCAGGGAGAGGAATCTGTGCACAGTGCAGCCCGCAACACTGAATCAAGCTGAGCATCTTAGTATCTGTCTGCCTTACTCTTTTCAAGCAGGGTTTCTGAGGTATGCGTTGCATTTCGCTGTGTGCGTGCGTGCGTGCGTGCGAGCGTGCGAGCGAGCAAGGGGTTTCTCTTGACTCAGTGTTAGTGAGCTGTCCTGGGCTGGGTCCTGTCTCTGACAAGCTTGCGGTAAGGTATGGTCACTGTCTCTCTTGCAGATGTCCTAGGTGTGCTGGTGGCTGGTGGCTGTGCTGGGGTCCTGGCCTGGGCCGTGGCCACCCCCATGGACGTGATCAAGTCACGCCTGCAGGCGGACGGGCAGGGCCAGCAGCGCTACCGGGGCCTCCTGCACTGTGTGGTGACCAGTGTGCGGGAGGAGGGCCCCAGGGTGCTCTTCAAAGGGCTGACGCTCAACTGCTGCCGTGCCTTTCCTGTCAACATGGTGGTCTTCATGGCCTATGAGGCTGTGCTGCGACTCTCTCGGCAACTGTGCACATAGGGGCCACCGGTCAGCAGCAGCCAGGTCACAGCAGCGGGGGGGCATGGTGGTAGGACCCCACAGGGCTGTCACTGGGACAGCAGAGGGCCTTCTGTGCAGTGACTTAGGTGAGGCCTGCCCAGCCGCTGACCATAAAGTCAGGGGGTTGACCTGCCATCTGCCTGGGGGTCATGAGTCAAGGTTGTGTGGGTTTCCTTGATGAGGATGTTACTTGGAGTCATCTGTCACTGAGCAACTGTTCATTCTTGAGTGGACTCCCTTGTCCATACCCGTGACTTCAGAGCATACCCTCTCCACCCCCACTGAGTGCTCCGCCATCCTCCAACCCCAGTTCCGGTCAACTTCCATCAATTCGCGCTGTCCCTTAAGAGACAAGCGAGGGACCAGGCAGCAAGCTGAGTCACCGGGCTACAGGCTGGGCTTGTCCCGTGTCCTAGGCTGTCCTCGCTGGCTGAGGAACTGGTGTGGTGCCTCACTGGGTACCCACAGTCACACTGCTTGCCACACGAAGGCTCTGGGACCTGGGTCATGAGTGGTTTTCAATAAACATGTTTCTGAACTTGCTCAGCGGTGTTGCTGTGTGATTTGGGGGGGGGGGTAGCGGTCCTCCTACCTTGTGTTCATCCGGTAAGCTTCACTGTGAATCCTGTCAGCTCGTGGGGGAGAGGTGGTGTGAGTCCCTGGCCCTGATGGCTAGGATAGGATGGACTAGAGTCCTTACTTGGGCAGCCAGATCCCCGTTATGTTGAGGGTCGCTGTGAACCCCTGCATGATGTTACTTTCTGGGCCGTGTAGTCTGTTATCTGTGCCATTACCATGCCTGGCTGGAGCTCTGCACCAAGGGTGTGAAAGTGCGGGGTGACCATTCAAAGGTTTTATGAGCCAGGGCATGGCGGGCAGGGTAGGCTAGTATCTGCCCTCAGGCACACAGTGGGACTTGCCTGTGCTTCTGAGGCCTTACCCCTCCTGTTCAGGGACCCTGTGGCTTGGCAGTACAGCGTCAGCCACTGGGTCTTGACAGAGCAGCCCTGTGGAAAGCTCAGCTTCGCATGCTCAGACGCAGAGCCTGGCTATGCATGTATCTAATGGTCTCCAGTTTTCTTTGTCCAATAAAGCTTTCCAATTTCATCTAAGTACCGTGAGCTAACCGATTGCGCCACTGGAGCACTCAAAGCTTTCCAATTTTTAGGAGGGGCAGGATATGTCTCTGGGTCTGCTCTGGTCATGCAGGTCCTTCGGCAGCAGATCTTATGCAAGGCCTCCCCCTGCCTGATGTCATCTCTTGGGCCTCCCCTTCCCCAGGGAGGTCTCACTACCAGGCCTGGCCAGCTGGCTTGTCCGCTTATCTGTTCCATCTCAAAACTGGGAGCTGCCCAGGACCTCTCTGCCTCTGGTGAACAGGGGAACGGGAAGCTCTTCAGTAAGGCCCTGGTTATGATGAAAGCCAGGGAGCTTTCTTGTGGGGTTGGGAAGCTTCTACAGACAGGATTTCAGCATGTCTCCAGCTGCAGCCTGGAGGGAGCGCTGGTCCAGCCGCCCTCGGCAAGTATCTAGGAGAGGCACACACACGAGATACAGCTGCTGTGGAACCCCCAACCCATCCTCCTCAGAGTTACTGTCCTCATGGAAATCTGTACGGCCTGTGAAAAGGTCTCATCATAGGGGCAATAGAGACTTTTTGAAGTGTTCTTTTCACTTTGGATTCTCTTCCTTCAGCCTTTGGATTCTCTTCCGGTTTCAGTAAGGTTTCTCTTAAAAAAACAGTTGGTATGTGGCCTCCCTCCCACCTTCCTCGCATGCTTCAGACCCTGACTTAGCACGACTTGTCCCCTGAATTGCAATCCTGAAGTCCTTTTGGTTTTAGTGCCTGAACTTGAAAGTTCACCTAGTTCAGAGAGATCAAAATGCTGGGACATTCTGGGACAGTGCCTGGAAAAGGACAACTAATAAGATGGCCTAATAATTTACCGCCTCTGTCAGGGGCCACTCATTCTTTTTCTTGAATTTTTTTTTTTGGGGGGGGTGTTGTTTGGTTTTCAAGACAGGACTTCTCTGTGTAGCTTTGGAGCCTGTCAGGAACTCGCTTTGTAGACAAGGCTGGCCTTGAACTCAGAGATCTGCCTGCCTCTGCCTTCCTAGTTTCCTAGTACTGGGATTAAAGGCATGCGCCACTAATGCCCAGTTTTTTTTTTTTTTTTTTTTAGACAGGGTGTCTTACTATGTAGTCTTGGCTGGCCTGGAACTTGCTATGTAGACCAGGTTAGCCTCAAACTCAGAGATCCGCCTGCCTCTGCCTCCCAAGGGCTGGGATTAAAAGGTGTCACTCATTATGTTGTGGAAGTGGGCTCAGACAGCACACTCTTGGCTCTGATCCTCCCCGTTCACAGGGGTCATGGCGGATGCTCTGGCTCCTGCTGACCCAGACTGCTGATCGGCTGGCCCAGCCCAGGTCTCCAGGCTGCCAGTGGTGTAAGTGACTTAGCCGGAAGGGCCTGGAACTTACTACATACCCCTGGCTTGCCTCAAATACTCCCTGCCTTCCTGCCTCAGCCTCCCAAGTGTGGGGATACCGGGTATTAGTCAGCCCCTGGCCTCCCCGCTGCTGCCAGAGTAAAGAAGCAGAGAGGGGCCGGCTGCTCCGAGTAACACACTGGGGAAGGGCTGGTCTCCCCACAGTCAGAGCCAAAAGCTCCCCCTCGAGAGCTCCCACATGTGCTGGCTGCAGACCTACGGTTCCGGGAGAAGGGCCAACAGTGTAGCCCTGGAGGTTCCCCAAGGCCTGTTTCACCCTGAACATACTGCTGTAGACGGCAGGGGTCACCTGCATCTTCGTGATGTGGATACTCAGAGTGAAGGCCATTCTTCCTGGGAAGTCTCTGGAACATCTGGTGTTGGACACATCCCCGGGCTCCCCCATTTAAAACCCTGCTGAGCCTTTCTCTCAGGGAGCTCAGGCGTCTGCTGCTTTTCAGCAAGCGTAGCAGTGGGTGTTGAAGGCCTGCAGCTACCCTGCCCTCCCCCTGACTAGCAGCAGCCTTCTATATCCCCTCTGTGTTGTTTTACATGGAGGACATGGAGCTCCAAGAAGTCAGGTGACTCTCCCAAAGTGTGGCTGGTGGCAGGAGGGGGCTGGCCTGGGTGCTCACTCCTCCCTGGTCCAGATCCTAGCTAAGCCATCAGATGCTCTGGCTGGGTTGACAATGACAGCAACATCATCTGCACACCTGTACGTCCCATGGGCACAATGCATACAAGTGACTAGTCATTGCGGGTTACAGTGAGAGCAAGGCGGGGCTCTGCATCTGTTTCACCACCCTGGCTACAGCAGCCAGGTGAGGGGTTGGCCTGGGAAGTGGGACCTGTCCAGTGGTGTGGGGTTTCGAGGAGAGCCCGCATGAAGTTCGTGCCATACTCAGGCACTCTCTTGGGCTCTGAGTTCAGGCACTTGGCCTCCCAGGGTATGAACCTCAATGTTCTCACTGCTGAGTCAGAACAGACTGCTCATAACAAATTCACTGTGTGGCCTTAGGCGAGTCATAGCTCCCTCCAAGCCCTATTCCCCACTTGCAAATGAGAACAGGCGCGTAAGGTAAAGTGGGACTCCATTATGACTGGGTCTCTCCTGGACCCCAGAGGCCCCATTTCTGCCTGCGCTCATCACTTCCGCATCCCCTGAGCTGAGGTCTCAGCAGACAGGACATCATATGCGCATGCTCTCTCCAGGCTGCTAGAACATCAAACAAGGCAGGAACGTAGTTGCAGGGAGAGGGTGGCTTCTCAGGACAAGTAGCTGACACAGAACCGGTCCTGGGGAGCCTGCCTCTAAGCACATGTCTGTCCCCTACCCCTGACACGGGGAATGTCACAGCCTCAGCATGGGTGTGGTGTGGCTTGGGGGCAGTAATTGCAGGTGCCCTGCAGCCTGCTCGGACAGACAACAATGGAGGCGGGGCACAGCAAAGTTTATTTTTTGCCTGGAAGTGATGCAAGGACAGAACACTCAGAGTGGCCTCTGTGCCTTCAGAGAGGACAGACACGTCAACCAGGGCCTTTCCCTGAGATACGGCCTCTGTTTGCCGAGACTTTGAGCGGTGGCTTGTTAGACATGGTCAGCCTGGAGGGAGAAGGCCAGGGCCCGGACAACTGTTGCTCTTTCCTGTCTAGCTATGGCCCACCGGCCCGGGCACGGCCAGCGCACCGTTCTGTGCTGCCTTCCACTTCAGTCAAGTGCCAAGAGCATCTGCCAAGGCAACAGACTGTCCTGAGAGAGGGACGGTCGGGAGAAGTCATCACTGGGCCACTTGTGGGAGAGTCAGTACACTAGGGCAACAAGCATGATTTTGGAGTGGACAACACGTGTGATCTGGAGTTTAGTAACCTCAGCCTAACAGAAGTAGTCCAGCCTGGGGTCCATAATCAGTGTCAAAGGCAGCTTTTAGAGCTGAAGACCCCCCACCCCCTGTTGTGGTGCTGAAGACTGAACCCAGGACATCATGCATGCTAGGCAAGTGCTCTACTGCTGAGCTACACCTGCAGGACAAAGCCGAGTACTCCTTAGTCAGTATAAAGCAAAGTACATATATAGAGAGTTGGTATGGGCTCAAGCGCAGCATCTTTGCCCACTAAATGTCTCCTCATCAGTCTTTCACAGCACTTTTTAGTTTTACAATAAGGACATTCTGATTCTATAGACATAGAATCAAACACAAATTATGTCAGGCTCTTGCTAGGCAGCCCAGGCTGGCACAGAACTTGTGCCTTTGCCTATGGAACACAGAGATTCCATAGGTGTGTACCAGCATGTGTAGCACAGACACTCACAAATAAACTAATAGATTTTGGGAATTTATCTGGAACCTTAGGCTGCTGGATGGACAGTCCTCTGTGGGCTACAGAGGCCCACACCGGGGCTCTTTGTGGGAGACTCTTGGCTGGGTTTCTACGTGACCACGCAGCATGAGCAGACCTGACCATCAGCAGACACCAGGCGGACAGACATCACAGAAGAAACAGCATCCAGAATGCACAAGGGCGTAGAGACCCAGGTCCAGGAATTAACAGGTGAGGAAGCCTACGGGAGTGTGACTTGATTTGATGGGGCTGGGATTACTGATAGACGCTGTCTTTACGTGCACACAGAAAGAGCATTACTGAAAGTGGAAGGACAGCTGCCGCGGTGTCATGAACTCCTTCACCGTTTCCTCAGTGACCTCCTTGCGTCGGGCCTGGTGCTCGGCGATTAGGGGCTGAAGGACATCTATGAGTGTCTTCTTGAGCTCCCCAGTGAGCATGGCTCCGCTGGTGTAATCCTGCCAGGAAGTTGGATGCTGTGAGCAGTGGCTGTGGGTGTCCCAGCCCTTCCTACCTTAGCTCTAATTCTGCTTACTTCCTTTATGAGCTATGCTGAAAGGATCACAGTACCCTGGGTCTTACAGGACATTAAAATGCCTGTTCTTGTGCCTTGGGCTCTTTCCCTCCGGTTTCTTTTGTCCAATTATGACATGTCAGTTTTTGTTTTATCTTATTATATTATCTTCATTATTATCCTGCAGGAGTCTGCTTTCTACGAGACACAGAGCGAGTGGATACAAACAGGAGGGGAGGTGGGGAAGAATTGGGAGCAGTAAGGGAGGGAAGCCATAATCACAATTAGTTCTGTCCCCACAAGAGAAAGGAGAGCTGACCGTGGCTCCCGGCCGTATGGCTTCTCCACACCCTGGTGCTTTCCTTCCCGATGGTGCCACTCTTCAAGCAGACAAAACACAGACCCAAGACGGAGGTGGCAGAAGGCTGGGGAGAACCACCTTCAGCTAGCTCCACGCCGCAGGCGCTGACCACTGCTAGGGAATGGCATTTTTCCTTTCAGAATGTTTCCTGTGAACATAAACTACTGTCTCTCCTCACTGCTTCTTTCTTCCCTATCCCTGGCATTGGTTCTGGTGTCACTGAAACCTTTTAAATCCTTATTCCTATAACCCCAGCACTCAGGTGGCTGAGGCAGGAGGATTCTCTTAAGTTTAATGTAAGCTTGGTCTCCATATCAAGTTCCAGGCTACACAGTGAGATTCTGTCTTAAGCAGTAACAACCAAAATCATTAACACAGTGGGGCAGTGTATCTGCAACAATTCTCACCTGGCCTCCAGGATGGACAGTGCATGTACCTTTTTTTCTGCTACTGTTTCTGTATGAAAAGCCGTTTTCTATTCCACAGGATTTCCTTGGAAAAGACTCCAAGACCAAGGCTCTGCTTGTCCCCACCAGCTCACTGAGAGGCTGTCCTAGGACCAGGGACACCTACATTCCTCCCAGGACAAGAAAGACTTTTGAGACCTAAACAAGGGTTCTTCCTATGTGGTTAACAATCTGAGTGATCTTACCCACTCTTTTGTTTTATATGTGGAATGCTTCATAGATTCGTGTCATCCTTGAGCAGGGACCATGCTAATCTTCTCTGTATTGTTCCAGTTTTGGTATGTGCTGCTGAAGCAAGCACCTGTTCCAGTTCTTAAATACAGCATGTTGCCGTGTAGCCCAGGCTGGCCTGGGATTTGTAATCTCCTGCTTCAGCCTCCTGAGCAGCTGGGTGTGAGTGAGTCTGATTACTTTGTGTGGACTGAGCCAGTGAGGACGCTCCGGCAATGCGCAGGACCGGGCTGTCAGGCTCACGTGGTGGGTGGCAGGGCTGACTCACCTTTCGGATCTGCTCCAGCCTGTCGTCATCTTCAAGGAAGAAGGTCAGGTACATGAAGGACACATCCACCTCACAGTTGCCCCCCAACTGCCTGTGCTCCTCCACGGTGTCTCTCCCACCAGAAAAGGCATGCTTGTTGACCTGCACGGGCACACAAGTCAGTCAAAGTGCTGCCTTGTCCCTGGACATCAGTCAGGGCCCACCAGTGACTCACGGGGAGGGGCAGGGAGGCAGGAGAGCAGGTCTTTGACAAATGAATTACAGAACAGTCCGGAAACCAAAGCACACTGGGCTAAAAGGAAGAGCCCAAGCCCTCTTCAGAGCTGGTGGCCAACAGGAAGGATGGCGGGTAGTGCCGGGTCCACGGGTGGCAGAAAAGCAGCCCCCAACCACACGCACACGTGAGCCACAGGGTCAGGAGGTCACATGACAGAAGTGCTGCTCTTAACATGCGGTGGCAGCAAAGGCCTGTAGGGAGGCTACACCCGCATGGGCGATGTGTCAGGTGCTTACGAAAGCCCCAGATGGGCTAGAGCCCAGTACGCATATGTCAACTCGTAACTGTAACTTCAAATGTCCTTTCTGGCCCCTGTGGATACCAGGCACTCATAAGGAGCATGGACATACATGCAAACAAAACACTGACCCACATAAAACAAGCAAACAAACCCCAGAAACCAACTAAACAGAGCAGAGCACAGTAGTAGGCACTTAGCACACAGGAGGCTGAGGCAGGAGGATTACTTGTGTTCAAGAGTGCCAGGCAAACTTCAGCAACAAAGAGAAACACCATCTCAAAACAAACAAAAGAACTAATGAAAAGAGCGGGGTATGGTAGTGTAAACCTTTAATTTAGCACTCAGGAGGCCTCTGCAGGTAGATCTGTGAGCCTGAGGCTAGCCTGGGCTACCCAGAGTTACAGATCAGCCAGTGGTACACAGTGAGAGCCTGTCTCAGAAAAGTAAGTAAATAAATAAAAATGAATGAAAGCTAGGGGTAAACATCACCAGGACTTTGCACCCCACAAAAGCTGCCTGGACGGCTAAGGCCCTCCCCACAGTGATAGGATCATGTTTTGTCAGAATATTTTGTCCTGGAACAAAGTTCCTAGAACCTGGGAATCTCCCCAATCCTCCTGGGGAACGGCTTGGCTTCCGGGCTGCTGCCTCGCAAGAGCGAATGGGTCCAGACCTGAGTGGCCATTCTCTGCCCTCCATGCCTGGACCCATGGCCCTCGTGCTTATTGATAGACAGATGGCGTTTCCCTGAGTTCTGTGAGCTGTCCCAGCAAACTGATGAAGCCTTGGTAGGGGCAGTGGGAACCCGTGCAGAGCCGCTTTGTCAGAAATACAGATGCTACAGCCTCAGGCTGGCAGAGCGAGGGTGAGGTCTTCACCTGCACTCTCCAGGGACAAAGCATCAGGACTGAACTGATGGAGACACCAGCCAGCTGGTATCTGCTGGAGACCACTTGGCAGGAACACCTTGCCCTGCTGACTTATAGGCCAGGATAATCAGAGCCCCTGACTGTTGGCAGCTGTGTTAACCAGAAGCTAGACTTCCTCACTGTCAGACTGGCTCTGAGCTGTGGAGATTCTGTCTGCAGGTCCTTTGCCAGGGTGACTAAGTCTGGATCCAAGGTGGGCATAGAGACTTGGAGAGGACCTGTCGGTGACCCTGACCTCTGCAGGACCATGTGGTTCTGATCTCGTGCAGGCTCTCCTGCTGGCTTTAAAAAATGGGAAATCCTCCAGAGTCACACAAACTGCTTCTAAAAACCAACTTCTCAAAACTGAGCAGAACTTGTCCCCACCACATACCTCACTTCTCCCTCTCCATCTGCATTCTGGAAGTTTCAGGCAAAAGCAAAAGAGAAAGAAAGATTTCCCCAAATCCCCAATCCTATTAGCTCTCACGTCAGGCAGGGCTAGCGCAAGCCAGTTCCGGAGGAAGGGCTGGATATGAAAAGTCCCCATTGTCAACCAGAACCTGTTTGGGACTTTCCAAAGGCTTGGGGGCCTGGCAGGGACTCTGACTATTGTATAACATTCCCCAGATATGTTCCTCTTACTCCTCTTTGACCATCCAACTCACAAACACATACTTGGGTCCAAAGGAAACATCAGTGACTTCCTGTAACCATGAAGGGCTCACACTCACTGGCAGCTCAGGTTTGAGCAACAGCACTGGGCTCTGAACCATGTGGATGTGCAAACTCCTTTTTAGTTCTAGTTTCTAACTGACATTCAAATATTAAGCAAGTACCCACAGCCTGCCAGGGCAGAGACAGACGTGGCAGTCCTGTTGGAGGGTGCGTCTCAGTTCTTTCCAGGAGAGCATTCCAGAGAATCATGGCCTGATGGGGAAGTCCTGTGTATATGTCAATAAAGCACTGTTGGCCAATAGGGAAGTAAGATAGGTGGGACTAGGAGTCCAGGAGGACTCTGGGAAGGAGAAACACAGGGAGTCAAGATGTAACGCCATAGGGTAAGAAGCCCAGACCCTTTTCTCCGGTAAGAGAAATACTTAGATTGGCACAAATACTTAAGTCAGAGCTAGCCAGTAAGAAACAAGCAAGGCCAACAGCTTCATAATTAATACAGCATCTTGTGTGTTATTTGGGGACTACAATGCAACAGAGCCCAGGCAACTGTTGGGGAAAAACCAAAGTGGCTGTCAAGGAAAAGCCTTCTCTCTACAATGGCCCAAGTTGCTGCTTTCACTCTGGAGCAGTATGCCAGTGAAGCTCTGCTTCAAACAAACAGAGCAGCAGGGCATGGTGGCCGGACGTGGTGCTCGACTTTAATCCCAGCACTCACGAGGCATAGGCAGGTGGATCTCTGTGACAGCCTGGTCTACACTGACACAAACTGCTTATTGAGGGCCTGGTGGGGACTGAGGGAAAGGAAACTCAGAAACCATCAGCATAGTAACTGGCCCTGCCCTGTCCGATGTTCAGACAGAGAATCATCTTCTACATTATTTGACAATAGCTTCATTGATTATGCTTTAAAGAAAACTGCCAAGACTCTACTTCCGCGTCAACATGCTGTTAGACAGAAAAGAGGAAAGAGAAAAATCCCCCAGGTTCTTATCTATACGGAGGGGATCAAAGGCTAACCAATTCCCACACCCAAACCCCAGCTCCCCACGAGCGGCCAGCAGTCCCTGTGGGACCAGGCATTGCTGTGAGCTGTGAGACGTAATGTCACGTGAGCCTGTCACGTGAGCTCGCACGCCCCTGCCCCTTCCAGGCTCACCTTGCTCTTGATCTGCTTGGCTGTGTCAGTGAGGAAGATGGAGGAGTTGGGGTCACTGGCGCTCATCTTGGTCTGGGCCCCCTGCAGGGCAGGGAAGAAGGTGGAGTGCAGCAGGGCAGGTTTAGGATGGCCGATCCTGGGGGCCACGTCCCTCGTCATTCTGAAGTAAGGGTCCTAGGTGGAAAAGGCTGGGGTGAAGACTGGGCCCAGTGGCCAGGCTGGCCAGTGAGGCGCCCTCACGGGAGGCTGAGAAGCTCGTGGTCAGTTTCCAACGGCCTCTCCTCCCAACGCTGTGTCACCGCCCCTCCCCAGGAGAACCCCGCAACCGCTGCCAGCCCCGCCTCACTTCCCACAAGTCAACCTGGTCAATGGCACAAGGGATGAGGCACTGGATGTCCGTCCTGTCTCGGAAAATCTTCGGGAAAGAGTTGCTGAATGATGGTGCAGCCTGGACAGCAGGAAAACTGATCTTCCCTGAAAGAAGGGAGACACTCTTAGGTGTTGGGCCAACGCTGCTCTGGGTAATCAGTCCAGTGAAAGGGATCAACAATGGCCTCCTCGCACTGAAAACAAACTAAAGAAAGCCTAAGAACACAGCAAGGGCGCTAAGGAGCAGTTGAGCCCACCCCAGGCCTCGAATCAGGTTCTTTCTGCATTTCTCAGGGGGCTCAGCTGTGACATGCACTGTTGTGCAGCTTTCTTCTTTCAATGTATGTGGCTGCCATGGCCGCCAGGGCCACCCTTAAGAGCACAACACCACACCGGCCTTTTCCAGGGGCTTGCTACTCTTCATAATGACAAAGTACCTCCTGCTGTCTTAGAACATGCACGCTCAGGCGCAGGGTGTTTACATAGCCTGCCACGGCTGCACACAGCGAGTGAGTAGCTGAACCAGGACTGAACCCGGGTGTCAGGCAAGGGCGGGGCAGGGATCTGTTACAAGATGCTGCTTCTCAGCTGCTCATCACCTCCACCGTGGGCCACTCTGGATGCTGTGACCCCAATGCCAAGAACCTTTCAAAAGCAGGAAGATCACGTTCCAATTGTTGGGAATGACTCTGACTGAACTATCAAAGAGGAGGCCAGGGGACTGGAAACGGGGACAGAAACAGGGGGACACAGGGAACTGAAGGCCCAGCCATGAGTCTCAAGATGATGGCCTGTTACAAAGGCCAATACATTGGAATGACAGAGACATGTAGCGTACATAACCATGTGTATACAGTTGGCAAATACTGTGTGTTTAAGTGGGGGCAAAGCCATGGGAGGAGAGTAAGGAGGGGTGGGAGGGGGCTGTAGTTAGTAAAACCACTCTCTTCATATATACTTAATTATTTATTTGAGACATTGTGGCCCGAGTAGACTGGAACTCACTATATAGATCAGGCTAGCCTCAAAACCAGAGATCTGCCTGCCTGTCCTTTGAGTGCTGGAATTAAAGGAGTGAGCTGCTACACCCAGCTAAAACTTCCAATCTAAGTGGAGAGACTCTATCATGCTCCAATAGAGTAGAAGATCCACCTGCCCTCTTCTAATTCTTCTGGGCTCTACCAAGCCCTATAGTGACTGGCGTCACACCAGCATGGTGGGGAACTCCAGCCAGTCTTGTCTGTCTGAGTCTGGTGGAACACTTACTTCTGAGTGGTTTAAATGAAGACATCTCAGGTCTCTGGGCAGACTTGGGGGTGGAGTGGGGCTCAGTGGTAGCATTGCTACATGTATGAATCTATCTCGTGGAGTACACACCACACCCCAGGTATCTTAGCTCAGGCTTTGGTGCTGCTGCTTGCTTTGTTGTTGATTTTATTTATTTACTTTTTGAGTCAGGGTTTCTCTATGTAACAGCCTGGGCTGCCCAGGAACTCATTCTGTAGATCACATTGGCCTCGAACTCACCTGCATCTGCCTCCTGAGTGCTGGGATTAAAGTTGTGCACCATCACTGCTGATCTGTGATTCTTATGAACCCTGGCTAGTTTCCTCTGAGCTCGCCTGTCCCACAGAGAGAGGGGTCCCCAGGCAGCAGCAGCCCCCCTTACCAATGCAGTCACTGTCGGTGAAGCCGAAAATGCCTTTCACTTGGTTGAAGGTGACATGCTTCTGAATCTTCACCACATTCTTGTAGAAGCCGGGGCTCTGCCTGCAGGGATGAGCAGAATCACACCTGAGCCGGACGACAGCCTCCACGGACAGCAGAGCAGCAGCAGCTAAAACTGGGTATGAGTGAGTGGCGTGCTACACACACCGGGTGACACACGAGTTCAGCTCATGCGTAACAGGAATGTATGGAGAAGTCAAATGCAGGCAGACAACCACAGCAGTCACACCTCTAACTGTGAAGGCTGTGAAGAGGCAGTGCTCAGCAGATCTCAAGGAAGAAGCCCCACTGCCGTCTGCTGACACAGGGTGTGGGGAGACGCGTGTGCCCAGATGGAAGGCATGGGAACTGACCCGCTTCTCTGTGCATCCCTGGCTGGCCTCAGCACAGATGCTCCTCCCAGCATCCAGCACTATTACCTCTACTGCAGTGGCACGATGTACCCTGCAACAGGGTGTGCCCTACTGGCTGGTTTGAGCACCATGACCTCCCTGGATGGTGAAGGCATGGATATGATGCCTACATCTGTGACAGCCATCCTGATAACAGAGGGAAGCAGGCTGAGGCGGAGCACAGAGGGTAGCAAGATCCAGAGTGGCTTCTTTTGAAAATTTTTATTTATGAGTGCTTTTGTTGGCATGTATGTGTATCACATGCATGCCTGGTACCCCAGAAGAGCAGGCTGGCCCCCTGCAACAGGAGTCACAGATAGTTGTGAGCCGCCATGTAAGTGCTGGGAACCAAACCTGGTCCTCTACAAGAGACATCCCTCCCGGCCTCCCCTCCCTACACCCACTTCTTACACTGTGTGTGTTGACAGTATCCCTTTCTTCAGTGACCCTGTGCTATGCACTGGAAAGACAGGAAGGGAGGCAGTGGAGACTGGGTGCAGTGTTAAGGCACTGGGAAGGCCGGGTTAAGGTTGCTGGTTATAGAATGGGTTAGTTACACCTTCCTCCCTTCCTCTCTCCAGTTCAAGGGTTTGCTTCCCTTCCTGGCTTCAGCTAGGGGGTAACACAGAACAAAGGCCCTCGTCAGATGCCAGTACCACGTTTCTGGACTGAGAATTGGGTACGATAAATGTCTTTCCTGGGATTGGAGAGATGAACCAGTGGATAAGAGCACTGGCTGCTTCTCCAGAGGACCTGGGTTTGTTCCCAGCATCCACACTCAATACACGGGGTGCACAGACACACATGTATGTTGTGTGGCCTGAGTGAGAACGGATCATGTTTGTTATGGTCAGTCCTCAGTTGGGGAACTGGATAGAGGGTGTGGCCACGGTATGGAAGTGTGTTACTGGGGGCGGGGTTAGGTTTTCAAGGTTCTCCTCTGCCAGCTGCACACACAGTCCCCAGCTGCTGCTGCAGCGCCACCTGTGCTGCTGCCACACCCCCACCATGAGGATGATAAGCTGTCTTGGTCATGGCGTCTATTCACAGCAATAGAAACCCTAGGACACAGGAGGAACACTCACACACACGAACAAAGTTTTCATCAATGCTACACCGGGGAATGAGCGAGGCACGTATGATGCGGCACGGTGACTGGCACAATCCCCCTCGAGAAGCATGGCCTCGGCTTCCCAAATGAAGGCTGAAGCTTCAGAGTCCAGGTCACGGTCACAGGCCCTGTGCACACTGCAGGCCCTGTGCACACTGCAGGCCCCGTGTACACTGCAGGCCCCGTGTACACAGGAGCTGAGATCTAACTAGGTTTCACCTAGTCTCGAAGCCTGAGCCTTTTTTCTCATGCCATAGTTGTGGCACCGCTTTGATGAGAGTGACAGAGAGCTCCGAGTGTCTCCTGGGCAGGCAGAAGGTGGGTCAGGAGAGTGGCACATTAGTCCATACGGGCACAGGGTCAGCAGTGGGGATTCTCTATGGCTTCCATGTACTCGCCAGCAGAGGTTCAGGCCCTGGTTGAGCAGGGAGAGGGCAGTCATATGCTCGGCACAACAAAACTGCAGTGCCAGTCTTTGGGAAGAGACCAGGGTGCTTTCTGCTGGGACAGGGTGCAGTGCGTGCAGAGGGGCTTCTGGGAAGCAGCAGTCATGTACCTGGGACCAGCGACGGTGGCAAGCATTCTGGGGATGAAGATGACTGGATGGGGATGGCCCGTGAACTGGCCTCCTAGCTAGATCCTGCTGCACAAGCTGTGCCCTGGTAGTAGCAGAATGGAGCCCGCATGGGGACAGACTCCACCTGACTCTTAGCCCTGCCTGGCACAGCACATCCACAAGACGCACACTTGACTGTGCCCACAACTGAACAACTGCTCCAGGAAGACCTCCCTCCCACACACAGCTCCACACTGGAAGACAGCTGAAAGGCGACCCTGTCCAGGCCCACTAGGTGCCAGGCACTGCCCGAGGGGTTTTGTGCGCACCAACTCAGAAAGTGTCACTAGCTTGGCAGCATGGACCATCGTCTCTAGACTTCTTCACCCCCACCTTTTCCACATCTCCCAGCACTGTGACCTCACTGTCATCCAATCGTGTTTAGTGACTGCCCCATCAGAAGATAAACTGTAGAGGCTATGAATGCAGGTTACTACATGCATAAGGCTCTCAGTTCCATTTCCAGCAAGAAAAAGCAAACTGGGAAATACAGGGACTTACCCAGAGCAGAAGAGGGACTGGAAGACTAGAAGGAGGCCTCTCTGGGGTGGGGGTGGGGAGGAGGGAGAGGGACATATTGGGACTATATCACTGGAAGGACGATCCTCTGCGGTGTGAGGCAGGGAGGAGGACATACTTCTTCCTTCCTTTCCAAGAAGAGTGGAGCCTGGCTCCCTTGTATTTGTAGCTCCAAAGGACCAACAGGCTTGTTAGATCATAGATGAGATTCTAGATTAAGTTTAAGCCAGGAAAGTAAATGTTCAAATGTTTAAGGAAATTCTTGCTGGGTGTGGTTGCACATGAACATAACCGTAGTCACCAGCACTTGGGATCCAAGGCCAAGGCAACACAGTGAGAATTCATTTCAAAAAAGAAAACAAAGAGAAGAAATCCTTAATGGGGCAGATGTGTTTTCTGATAGTCAACTTCACCCCATACTCCTGAGGAGAGATAAATTCTCACTGGGCCAAGGCGCACAGCGTCAGGAGCTGAGAGCACCAGAGACACACAAATGTCGCGTTGGGATGTGCTGAAAGGAGCCCGTGGGCTGCTCCCCACCCCTGTGCGCACTGCTGCAGGACTTGCTCCCATGTGGCCACTGTGCTGGCTACTTTTGTGTCAATTTGGCACAAGCTAGAGTTGTCTGAAAGCAGGGAACTTCAAGTGAGAAAATGCCTCAGTAAGATCCAGATGTAGGGTGGGGGAGCAGGGGAGGGAGAGGGAGCTGGGATTGACATGTGAAACAAGCTTGTTTCTAACCTAAATAATAATAATAATAATAAAAAGATCTTAATTAGTGATTGATGGGGGAGGGCCCAGCCCATTGTAGATGGGGCTACCCCTGGGCTGGTGGTCCTGGGATCTATAAAAAGCAGGCTGAGCAAGCCACGGGAAGCAAACCAGTAAGCAGCTCCTCCATGGCCTCTGCCTCAGCTCCTGCCTCCAGGTTTCGGCCCTGCTTGAGCTCTGTCCTGACTTCCTTCATGATGGGCTGTGATGTGGAAGTATAAGCCAAATGAACCCTTTCCTCCCCGACTTGCTTTGGTCCCAGTGTTCCTTCCCAGCAATAGAAACCTTACCTAACACAGACAGACATCTGAGTCCAGGGAGGACAGAGTTAGCCAATCCACTGTCTTTTTTAGGGCCCAGAAAGGGACTTTCCCCTAGAGTGCTATGTGCTTGATTTACTTACTGGATGGTGGCCGATAAGAGGCCTCCCTGTGTCAGACTGGCAGTTGTGCGTAGCAGGGATCAGGGAAGGGCATCTCCCCAGGAAAAGGGGTTTTAACATTCATTGGAGGAAAAGTGAAAGAGTTAGCCACACAGGGGTGAAGGGCTCAGAGGATAACATTTTGTTTGCAAAGGTGACAGATGTGAACTGTTAGCTGTTCATCAAATTGGAGACGGCAGAGCTGCCAAAGGAATGCAGGACCCAAACACAAGAGTGTGTGCACTAAGAGCAGAGCGAGCTCTTGCTGGCCCATGCTGACGTGTGGAAGACGAGAGCAGGAGGGGTTGCAGTGGTGAAGGATGCTGCCCACCAGAAACTGAGTGCAGGACTCCGGCTCAGCTACGGGAGAGGCTAAGGAGGGACGACCACTTGTGTCCAGGAGTTCAAGGCCAGCCTACGAAAGCCATGGAGGGTGACTCACAAACGAAAGCCCCAGTCACTGTGCCCTGTCAACAGCCTGGCTGTAAGAGGAGGGGCAGATCCTCGGTGTCTCTGGACTGAGGCTCAAGCACTTGCAGGAGGTCACTTTAAGGAACGAGGTGAAGACAACGGCACAAGTGTGACAAGTCTGATGAGTCTGATGGCACCTGTGTTACCGTAAGATCACCCAAGACCACCGTCAGATCCTGACCTCAGATCCACTTAGATTCCTTCCGGAGAGCAGAGCCTCTATGTTCACATAACTGAAAAGACTCTGATAGGCAAAGCTCAAAAATGAATCTGTGGGGTGGGGAGGGGCAGGCGAGAAGGCTCCGCTGATGGAAGAGTCTGCCACCAAGCCTAATGACCTGAAGTTGATGCTTAGGACTCACATTGTGGAAAACTATCCTGTAAGATGTCCTCTCTCTCTTTTACACACACACACACACACACACACACACACACACACACACACACACACACACACACACTAAAATGTAACTGGAATTAAAGACATATATGCTACCACAGCCAGCATAATACAAGTACTTTTTAAAATTTTAGTGATTTTCCTAGCTGGCAAAAGGTCAGATTTCCTGTCCTGGTGGACACACAGCTCCCACTTGGCAGCTGGGGACAGCACCAGCCAACCACGTGTGTCCCACAGGCTGTGTGCTTCCTCACACCGCCTTGGCCTAATCACTGGCCGTAACACCACAAGAGGGCCCTAGCCCCAAGCCCATCAGACCTGCTTACCCAACTCCCTTGAGTGAGGCCCACATCTCTAGAGCTCTAGACTCGATGCCTCCCAAGCCCTACCATGATGGGGAAAAAACCCAGGGCCTCACACATACTAGGGAAGTGCTTTACTACTGAGCCACACCACAGCCCTCAAAAAATATTTGTGGAGCTAAACAGTATTCACTGTTTCATGTTATTTACTTTTGAGACAGGTTCTAACTATGCAGTCCGAGTATATCAGCAGCCTGAGTGCTGGGATGGAGCTCACAGGGCTTGAATCTCATTCTTATGATGGCTGACTGACAGCACCACCTCAACCCCATCTTGTTTCTTCTGACAGGGACTTGCTATGTAGCCCTGGGGTACCCTGAACTCCTGATCCTGCTTCTTCAGGCCCGAGTAACAGGGTTGAGTGTAGGTGCACACCGACATACTGGCTTCAAAATCTGATTTCCCCAAACTTCTTAGTAATCACTGGGGATGAAGTTCAAGAGTGAAGTATGCTGATATAAACATGGCCAATTTAAGAAATGGGACTGTACAGAACATATCTAACAAGTGGAACTTCCTCTGAGGAAAAAGTCCCATTGAAAGTGAGACTGGCTGTCCTTGGACACTACAGTGCAAAATATCTCACTATGACAGCCGAGGGTGACACCATGACTATGCTGGACAAATGTTTATGATTTCTAAAGATATGTTTATGAAGGCAACAGTAGTTTCTGATATTACTTCTTTCTATGACATACACAGCTTTCCACCTCAAAAATTACTGCTAAATATAAACCAACATTTCAGATCAAAACGGAAGAAAAACCAGGTCAAAACCCAACTCTAGCATTTCATGTTAGTCATGACGTTTGTACCCACTTGCTTAGAGGCAGCCAAATGTTTTCTCCTTACCCCATAAACTCAAGGTCGGAGAAGATGAAAGTTTTGTTGATGTCAAAGCCACAGGCAATTATGTCCTTGGCATTTTCCACTGTGTAGCTGTATGCCTGCTCCAGAGTCAGGTCCTTCCACAGGTACTTCTCATCATCAGACATCTGGATGACCAAAGGCACATTGAACACATCCTGCAGCCACCTACAAAACACAGAAGACATCTGTAAGTACGAACACGCCCTCAGTCAAGCTTAGGGACATGGAGGATGGAGATCCAGCGCAAGAATGTCACTTTTGTGTGTGAACACAGTTCCTACCTACTCTGTAACCACAAAACTGCACTGTCAGTGCCATGCATTGACTAGCGACTCTTTCTGAGGGAATAAGTGATTCTTGCCATCTGGTAGACACGGACACGCATTTGGAGCAGAGTGGGCCTATGGTGGCAAGGACAGGCGAGGAGCGGAAGAGGAGCGGAGCATGTGAGCGGAGCATGTGAGCAGAGCATGTGTGGTTGACTCTGCTGTGGTCTCCCATTACACGTGGCTCTCTCAGGATAAGACCAGGCGCAAACGCAATGAACAGCTGGCAAGGTCCTGGTCCTGAAGCTCAGTTAACAGGCAGCAGCCTTGCCTTCCACTCTTGCTTCACGAGGGAAGTGACGAGTCTCACGAGCAATACTTACTTTGTGAAAATAAACGGGACGAGATGTCCCAGATGCATTGCTTCAGAGGAGGGGCCCCTGCCTGTGTACAAATAAAATGGCTTCTTGTTTTCATAGGCATCAAGGACTTGATTCATATCTCTAAAGGAAAAGAGAAAAAGAACAGTGTCATTTTCTGGAAAAAGTACAATTCACTAAAGCTCATCTGGAAATGAAAAGTAAAGACACATGAAGAACACAGAAGATAATCAGAGTGTGACCTCTCTGGAGCCGGGGAGTATGACCACAGCAGCAACTCTGAGAGGCTCCTTCTGTGAATAATTGTTTTGGAAGCTAAGACACGCAAGTTAGGAGTAAAAGGTCTAAAATGTGGGCCTGATGTGACAGCCCAGGCCTTTAATCCCAGCACTCAGGAGGCAGAGGCAGGTGGATCTCTGTGAATTTGAGGACAGCCTGGTCTACACAGTGAGCTCCAGGACACTGAGTGCCACATAGTGAGATCCTGTCTCTGAACCATTATTTTAAAAGATGAGCATGAATACGCCACTGTTACCTTTTGTAATGCCTCCAATGATCAAAGCAAATGCTACACTTGGCCAGTACCTCACTCACTTCCCTTTAGAAGGCACCAATCCTGAGACCCTAGAGTCCAAGCCTAGGAAAATCTCAGGGTCCATGCAGGCCTAGCTTGGGGAGGACAGAAAGGTAGGTCCTGGCAGCCCAGGATGAAGCCTCCAGCTGAAGAGCTGACTTGACATTCCAGGCCAGCTTGGGCCTTGGGTCTTTCTCTGAGAACCATTCCAGAGTCATCCTTCCTTCCCCAGGATGAGGTCACCATTAATGCTGTGGAGGCCCCTCCTTGCTGCTATGACCAGCATTAGCTGGTAGGCCCGCTTCTGCCTGCAGGTGCTAAGATCTGAGGTAATATCTGGTGCGTGCGTGCGTGCGTGCGTGTGTGTGCGTGTGTGTGTGTGTGTGTGTGTGTGTGTGTGTGTGTATGGCTGGGGAGGGGGTCAGGATAACTTTAGGTATTGTTTCTCAGGAGCTACTTTTGAGACAAGGTCTCTTAATGGGATCTCACCACGTAGGGTAGGCTGGCTGACCAGTGAGCCCCAGGGAGCTGCCTTTCTCTGTCCCAAGCACCGGCATTATATCATGGCATCATCATACCTGGTTCAGCATATGGTTCAGGAGCCTGAGCTCAGGGCCTCATGCTCGCATGGCAAGCATTTACCTACCAGGCTAGGCCCCTAGCCTGGAATTTGTGGTTTGCTTTCTTCCTTCTTTCTTTAAGATGGGGGTCTCACTATGTAACTCTGGCTGTCCTGGAACTCACTGTGTACACTAGAATGGCCTCAAACTCAAGAGGTCTGTCTGCTTACCAGAGTTGGGTTTAAAGGCTTGAGCCACTATGTCTAGCCTCTTTTTTAAAATTTGTTTTTGTTTAAGTGTATATGTGTGTTTCTATGTTTGAAACCAACCAAAGGCTAGGCATGAGTATCCTGCAGATAAAGAATAAGAAACCCCCTTTCCCAGAGGCCTGGATAGAAGAGTCTAGGCAACAGTGTTCTATAGACAGCAGTGGTAGCGCATGCCTCCAATCTTAGTACTTTGACGGCAGAAGGGTCAGGAGTTCAGGGAGAGCTACACAATGAATTACAAGTCAGCCTGGGCTATGAGACCCTGCCTCAAAAAAGAAATGGCCAGACAGACATCCTAGTGGTGCCTTCTCTCTTGATCTAAGGCAAAAGGCACAGAGCTGGTCTCTGGCTTGTGTACACTATGTGTTTTGTACATAGTGTTTTTCTTTTTCTTTTTAAATAGGAAGGGTCTTGCTCATTTAGCTCAGGCTGCCCTTGAATGTAATATGTAGTGGGAGATGACCTTGAATCCCTAATTTGCCTGTGTCTATTTCCTAAGTGCCAGGATTAGAAGCATGTACCATTACCTCATTTCCTGTTTTTCTGAGACATGCACTGGCTGTGTAGTCAAGAGTGGCCTGAGAATCCCATTCCTGCCTCCTGTCCAGGTGCTGATACGCAGACCACAGGGTTTGTGCTGCACTGTGAGGCTGCTTCTTCTGTTTCTCCAATTTATCCAAGTAACTGGTGGGTTTTGTTTTTTGTTCTTTAGACTGGGTCTTACTGTGTAGCCCTGGCTGTCCTGGGACTTGCTATCTAGACCAGGCTGGCCTTACCTGCCTGCCCGTGAGGCCTCTTGAGTTCTGGGATTAAAGGTATGTGCCACTATACCCTGCTGCAGTAACTTTTAATGGGCACATGGAAGAGAGAAAACCCATTCCATGAGTTGCTTTTCATGTGGCCACAGCCCGTATCTGAGCGCTCACTAGGCCAGGCCCAGTTCAAGGTCCATCTCATGCATACCCTTCCAAAAGAGCCTTGTTTGAGATGAGCTTGTAGATGTCATTTCACCCCGGGTAATAGACAGCATTAGGTAGTGGGTTCTGTCAAACTTCAGAATGTGTAAATGCCTTCCCTGAGTTATTACATTGACAAAACAGCCACGGAGCAGTAAGAGCTGCTCTTGTTCTAAATATAAAAGTTTTGTTAAGCCTTCACCACACTGGACATGGCATTTGGGGAATGAATCTGTCTCTGGGCTATGATCACACCCATATTTGGCTCAAGAATAAATTAACTGTTATTCACTGAGGAGGTGGGAGTTATGTTTTTGCATTGATAAAATGCTATTAAAATTCCAGAGGTCTTTCTTGTAGAAAACATAAGGCTGATTTTAAAACTCACATCGAAGTGCAAAGGGCTAAGAATATAAAAATAATCTTGAAAAAGAATGAGTTTTAAGACTCACATTTTCAGCTCAGAATTAGTTGGATTTGCTTTCTTTCTATTTTGGAGGTAGGATCCTCAAGTTTCCCAGGCTAGCCTTGAACTGTTGATGCAGCCAAGGATGCCCCTGAGCTTCTGATTCTCCTTCCTCCACCCCCTTCATGCTGGAACTACAGGTGTGTCCCATCACCTAGTTCTGGGAGGGATGGCTGACAGGGAGGCTTTTCTGCTGGGTGTTAAAAAGCTCTGTAATTAGATTGTTGCAGTGGTTATACAACTTTGCAAACATACTAAACCACTGAATAGCACAGTGTAAAGAGTTGAATTTTATGGTACATCAATTAAATGTCTTCACACGAATTTTTATTACATTTCTTTCTGTGTGTGCATGCATGTGTGTGTGTGTGCGTGTGTGTGTTTTCTTGCGTGTGTGGAGGTCAGAGAACAACTTTTGGGAATTAGTTCTTCCCTCATATTGGGTGGGACTGAATTCAGGTTTTAGAAGCAGGTGCCTTTCCATCTAACCAGCCCTCAATACCCCCATAAGTCCCGCCCTCCCCACCTACCCACAGGGTTTCTTATGTAGCCCCAGCTATCATGAAACTCTACAGACCAGGCTGACCTCCAACTCACAGAGAACCCCTGCCTCTGCCTCCTAAGTGCTGGGATTAAGGGTGTGTGCCACCACACCTGGTCTCAACTTTTAAAATTATATTTTATTGACTTATTTGTGCATCTTTCTGTGTGTATACTCATGGCATGGAGTGTATGTGCATGTCATAGTATACTCTGTGGGAATCTGCTCTTCTCTCCTTCCACCATATGGGTCCTGGGAATGGAACTCAGGTTATTGGGCTTGGCAGTGGGCACTTTTCCCTGCTGACACACATCACTGACCCAGAATTCAACTCCAATTAAGAAAAATACTGATTATATTTTGTACAGCATGTGGGCTGAGCAGAGCCCAGAGCTCGCTGCAGACATGATGTGAAAAGCCTGGGCAGAAATGTCCTTTCTTGAGTGTTTCTTGAAGCACAAGCAGAACAGAACACCCTGACCTCAGGTTGTCAGTTCTGTGACGAGGAAAAGCAATCTGTGGAGGGGAGAGGCAAGAAGTCTTCTGGAACTTGTCCATTTTTTTATGTTATCTGCATGGAATTTATGGCCCAAGGCAGGTCCTATGGGATCTGCGGTAAACTCTCTCGATGTCATTCATGAGTGGGAGGCGGCCTACAGCTTCCGTGTGGGAGGACTGAAGTTGGACCTGATAGTCTCTCGCTTTCATGCCCTTTAATGATTCAGAGCACGCAATATGACTGTACTTCACCTGCAAAGAACTGACCTCCACCTTTTGAGGTGGCCAGTTTACAAAGGAACAAGGGCTTGCAGGTGAAGGGACAGGGTGATTCCACAGTGAGTTACTACAGCGATCCCACTTGCCCAGGGTACCAGGCCTCCCCAGCACCTCCCAATTCCATGAACCCAGAGCAGAGGAAGGGCCCTGACCTGTGGGAGAAGAAGATGCCTCTGCGCAGGAAGCGGTGTGGTCTCTGGCCAGTGGCTTTCTCTATTCTGTTTATCAGCTCTTTATCAATTTTGCTGCTTCCAAACTGAACTGCAAAAAACACCAGGAAACAGAGATGCTTTTCTTAGACACCAGAAGACTTAATGATCTGTTCCAGTGACCCAAATCTCTTTAGGCTCTTGGCTGTGATTCTTCCCTTCACACAAAGCGAAGGGACCTTTGTGTCCAAACAGCTGAGACCCCAATCAGCAAAAGAGTGGCATACCATACGCCGCAGTGCCGTCTGCCTGGGTAGAGACTATGAACACAGTCTGGCTGCCAGTTCTGATGCACTCACACACCTTAAGGCGTAGCTTACCCTCACCAGCAACAACCACACTTTGCACATTTTCCAAACTGCTGACCTACATTCATGTTGGTCCTGAGGACACTTTCCCCCAGCGACAGTCTATGTTTTAGGCTATGCAAGTAGCTTTGATGCAGACACAGACATTTCAGTTGCTTCTTCCTTGACAATTATCAATGACATCAGTGGACAGGGGTGCCTTGAAGCAAGAGTGTAATGATGAGATCTCGCTAGCAAACATGCCCACCGCACTGGAGCTTCCCAAAGTTCTGGACCACAGGGGCTGGAGAGATGGCTCAGTGGTTAAGAGCACTAGATGGTCTTCCAGAGGTCCTGAGTTCAGTTCCCAGCAACAACATGATGGTTCAAAATTCTGAACTACCCCAAACCAGTAAAACCACCAGGCTGCTTGCTTTAGATCAAGATTTTGAAATATGTCATTTCATGTAATGTAGAACTTTGGTCTCTTGGGGCATAATCTATGTGTCCCAGGCTATGACTGGTCTTTTTATATGGTTGAGGGTGACTTCAAACTTCTAATCCTTTTGCCTCTACTCCTAACTGCAGGGTGACAAGTATGAGCCACCATGCCTGGTTTATTGTTATATAATTTTATAATAATCCTTTGGGACTGTAACATACAACCAAAGGGTTTTAAGATCTACTTCTCGATATTGAAGCTTTTTACTTGGGAATAGTTCAAAATTTTAAAAATATCACATATGTGCAAAGATATTGAAATCTGTATGTTTAAAGCATATTCTGGATTTCACAAGATGGAATCTCCCTTTGTGTTTCTGAATGGACAAAGAAAGTCTATCATTGACACACACACACACACACACACACACACACACACACACACACACACACACACACACCAGAGTACAACACAGCTATGAAAGGAAATGTAATCCTGTTATCTACAACAATAGATGAGGCCCAAGGACAAGCCAGATCAGCAATGCATAGAAGATTAAATACCACAAGATCTCATCCTATGTGAGATCTTAGGGAAAGAGAATGAGAGAGGTTGGTCACATTGAGGTTAGAGAAGTAGCTTCTGGTGGGCCGCTAACAGGGTGATGACATCAATAATAATGTATTGTGTATTTCAGAGCAGCTACCAGAGAGGACTGTGAATGCTCCTGCCACAAAGAAACAAAAATGTTGTCGGTAACACACATGTTAAATATCCTGATTGTGTCACTATCCAGGGTACGCACGTACGGACATATGAAAGGTGAATCAAAGCGCTTGTACAGATAAATACACATATCTAGCAACACCGATGGGAGTGACACGGTGGTCACCACTAAACACTGTGGATGCTGTCAGGGAAGAAGGTGTGGACTTACCAATGAGCTTGTCATAGTCGATGCCTTTTGCACTGCTTGTCCGTACTGTCCACGGGTCCACAAAATCCTCGTTGGCTTTGGTGGCATCTGGATCATTATTACTCCCAGCTGTTGGGTTCCCTGGAGGGCAGTCGGCCTTGTAGTCCTCCCCCATGGCGGCTTTATAGCTCATTTTTAATGATAACAGCATCTTTACTGCAGAATCAATCTCATCCTAAAGGGAAAAAGGTGAATGCTCAAAATGCTGACAAAGCTAACACCTGCAGAATACTAGTTAGGTGTCAGGCACTGTGCCGAGAGCTTTCACACGTCACCTCGTGCAGTTCTACAGCCTTGACAAGTGGGCGCCACTCAAGCTGTCCTGTGCCTGCGGAGGAGTTTGAGAACCAGGATTCATCCTGAATAGACAAAAAGCCAGGTGCAGGTGTATTTTACCTTTATTTGATACTGACCAAAACCACACAGGCTGGCAGCAGTGACACAGGTTAACGTGCTACGGCCCTTAAACAGGACTGGTGGCAGGGGACATGTGCCATAGCCCCGTTAGTGGAGTTCACAAGGCTGCATCCTGCATAGGTTAGAATGAAATTACAGACATAATCAAGATGCCAAAGGAGTTGTGATGGCAACTCAAAGACATGACATGAAGGCAGATAAAGGCAAGGGAAAGATGTGAGTCCCCAGAGATGCTCAGAAACAGGTACACCACTAGATGATGGCATCCTAAGAAGCTATTCCTTTGTAAGTTTTTTTAATTTGATGTGTATTATTATTTGCCCCTATGTATGCATGCGTACCATATGTGCCTGTGGAGGCCAGAAGAAGGCATTGGGTCTCCTAGCATTGGAGTTATCTTTGTGGGTTGCCATGTGGGTGCTGAGAACCAAACCCAGTTCCTTTACAAGAGCAGCAAATGCTCTTAACTGCTGAGCCATCTTTCTAGCTAGTTACCAAGCGATTTCTAGTATCTACATATCTATTATGCCTGAAATTCCAGCACTTGAGAGGTGAAGGCATGAGGATCAGGAGTTCTAGGCCATTCCTGGCTATATAGAAAGTTGGAGGCCAGTGTGGGTACACAAGACTTTATTAAAAAAAATATAGTAAAAATAAGGGAACAGTGCAGCAGAAGCAGCAGCAAACACAAGCTGTGTCCTTGCTTAAAAGAGCAGGCCTAAGGCCATCAAATCACACTGTGCCCTACAGTGAGTAATAGGCATAGCTGGATTAGAGCATAAAGACTACACAGTCTAATTTGTATGCCTAGGGCAATCAAATATTTTCACTTAGAATTTATGCAGCATGTACTATAAGTTGGGCTTCCTGGGGAAGAGCTACCATGACCCCAACCTCATCTCAAGAGTGATTCACTGGGCATAGCACCCTGGCCAAAGAGGGCTAGGGCTCTGCAGTGATCAGTGCTTCAAACAATAAAATATCTGGGATTTGCTATCAAAACGAGTTTGCCTCATGCCATCAATAACCCCATGTCTACAGCTCACAAAAGAGAGAGATGCCTTCGCTGGGTAGCTGTCTGCTGTCTCTGCTGTCCTTGGCTCAGCTCTGGAAATAAAAGTAATGTTTAACAAGTTTTATCTGCAGTGTTATCTGTGGGCAGTCCTGCTTTTATCTGAAGTACATAGCAGTCGGTTTAATCACTGACTGTTGACAGTTTATACTTTGTCTGCCTGCTACTAGAATGCTCTGGAAAGAGGGGACACTTAACCTTGTCCCCAGTCAGGAAACTTCTGCAGCCTGGAAAAAAAAAGCGATGAATAGCCCTGCCTGGCTTCCTACTTCTGTGTAGCATGGGCCAGAACACAGAGACTCAACTTGAAAGCCAGTGTTCTAGTGGAGTTACACGCAGGAGACAGAGGCAGGTGAATCTCTGAGTTCCAGACAGGCCACAGCGACACAGTGAGACTCTGTCTCAGAATGAGGGTGAAAAAAAAAAGCAGTACCAATTAAAAACATTACTAAATGTATTATTCACATTTAAGACTAAACTGACAAATATACCACTGCTAACCTTCCAAATAGGTTTACAGAAGAAATGATCAATACTTGGGTTTTTTATTTATTTTAGGCTTTTGCCTTAAGATCATTGAGCCCTCCTGGTGAGTAAATGTCTTTCTGGATAATCAGGTTTTGGGAAATCATTTCTTTCTATTCCATCTTTTTTTTTTTTTTTTTAACTGTAATGGTTTACTTGGATCAATGAATGACCTACAAGCTACTGGGCTGAATGAGCAGTGGATGGCACCACCTGGTAACATCAACACAGGTTTGAAAACAGGACGGTGGAGTGGAAAGAGAGCAGCAGAGGAGGAGGAAGCCATGGAGACCTAAGAATGGAGGCACCATGAGATCACGAGGTGCCTTTGACGCCGTTAAAAATGCAGACTGACTACGCTCCTGAAACCCACTATGCCATTAAGATCCTTAAAAAAGGCACAATCCCAGGGGATAAGGAAAACAGGAGGAGGGTGACAGCAACAAGACCCAGAAGGGGCAACATTCAAGGGCAAATAACAGACTGAGCACACGATAAAAACAAATGCTAAGAACTTCTGGAAGGCGGGCAGCAACCCCACTTCACACAGTGGACTCTAGAGAGGACCAGGCACCGTGAGGGAGTGGGCAGTGGGCTCAGCACTGTCCAGGAAGCAGGTGTTCCGCTTACGCCTGGGGTCCCACTCTATCCAGAGGTTTCCATGGGCAGAAGACAAAGGCCTGCAGATCACAGACTGCCGTACACAGCTGCGATCAGGGAAGCACTAGGAACAGCCTGAGACAACCACAGAGACTCGTATCCCACTTAGGGGAGGAGGTGGCAGCGGATCAGAGAATCTGATTTCTAAGGAAAGTTACAATAAGACTCTAAACCCAAAGATTCCTTAACCAAAGCAAGCCTGACGCTATTCAGGAAAGGGGCCATCCACAGACGTCTCCTCACACTTGATGTCTTGAGTGGATTGGCAAGACATAGCACACATCTGAGATGCGTGTGATATGAAAGGGAGGGAAGAAACTCACAGAGGCCCTGGGAGCACACAGGGAGCAGAGCACCAGGAAACCTGCCATCAGGAGCTCAGGGAACTAAGGAGCATGCCTACAGGGGTGCTGGGGAGTTTATCTCGACAGGAGAAATGGAAGACAGTAGGAGGCTGAGGTGAGGGAATAGCCCTGAAAGAACAGAAGGAAATGGAAAGTAGCAGACAAAAATAAGAAAACCAGAGGAGTGTTTTCTGACTTAAAAACACAAAGGACAGAGCACCAAAGAGATCAAAGAAACAACATGGCTTCTGAGAACTAAAGTTTGCAAAGAGCATTGGTCCTGGCCCAGGAATGTCAGAGCACTGGAACAAGAAGGGTCCTGATGCCCCTCGAGAGGACAGACAAGATACCAGCAAAATGGTGACTGAGGCACAGTGAGAGTATTCCAAGGGAAGTTGGGTGCGGTTTCCCATCTCTAATGTCAGCAACCAGGAGGTAGAAGCAGAAGATCATGTTATCCTTGGCTATAGCATGGTGAGGACAGGCTAGGCTACATGAGACACCATGTCAGACAAAATGAAACAAGCAATAGAATTCTAAGCAAAAGTTGCTTCCATCTAAGACTCCATACCCAGCTTAGCTATCAATCAAACCTTAGGGAAGGTAAATATGTTTTCAGGCATGCGCAGCTCAAGGTTGTCTCCTTTGCCACGACTTTTCACAACTAGGAGACTTAATTCTACCAAAAAAGGGGCTAGAGAGAGATGGCTCAGCTGGTAAAGCTAGGCTCACAACCAAAAATTCTGCCCCAAGAGTAAAACGGAAAAGGAAGATGACAACAGATGAATGAAGACCATCCAAAAGGAAACTGGCAGAGGTCTTGTAAGAAGCCCAAGAAATTACCTTTCCACAGTAGTAAAGCAGAACCATGACAGCCCTATACTGCTTAATGGTGGGGACAGTCTGAGGAATGTGTTATTAAATACAACACCATCAGTGCACTAACCTAGACAGTACAGGCCCACTACTTGATGTAACCTTTTCATTCAATCCAGAGACTGGGTCAACTCCGGGAATAGGGAATTTCTGCCAAGATAATACGACACAAATCTTGCTGTTATTTAGTGAATAGGCATACAGGCTTAAGGATAAAAAGTGTATTAAATGAAAAAACCAGTCCTGGACGCCTGGCCTTGAGGTTGTGATGGTTAACCCTCATCATCACCCTGACTGGATTTGGAATCAATCACCCAGATGACACCTCTGGGTGTGTTTGTGAAGATGTTTCCACAGTGGTGTAATGGATGACAGAAGACCCTCCTAGAGTGTGGGTAGTGTCACCCACCGCATTGACTGGGGTCTCAGACAGAAGGAAAAGGATAAAGGAAGCAGAGAGCCAGCATTCATCTCTCTCTGCTCCCTGACTGCAGTATCACATGACCAGCCGCCACGTGTATCTGCAGCAACATCTTCCTCATGAGGGGCTGGACCCTCAGACAGTGAGATAAAATGGCTCTTCCTCTTTGGAGCTCATGTTGTGGGTCAGCTGTTCGGCTGCAGTAAGGAGAAAAGCAGTTAAGACGGTGGCAGCATGCTACCTTAGCATGTGCCACGCCCCACTGTCCAGATACCAAACAATGCCCCCAAACAGGAAACAAAAGCAACAACTATATAAGATTAATGTTGCCACAAACAGAATGTTGACTATGTTCACAATCTACTGGAGCCCTGTGTGTCTGACTGGAGGTGTTATGTGGTGAGCAATGGCATTATGAATAGCACAGAAAAGTCCAGGCAAACAGAAATTCAGGCAAACATTAACTCCAGAGAAAACAGATGGTGGGAAGGAAAGGAAAAGTCCTCATGCTGTACTTGATGGTTCAGCTGTCTATGTGTTTACATAGTGTAATAATGCCTGTAGTAACAATGATCTAACCAGAACTGCAATATAGCCTGGGAGACCGGAGGATGGGAAGTATGTGCAAAAACAGGAAGTATGTGGCCAATTAAGAAAGAAAGGAAACAGTAGGCATGTAGCTTAGACGTGCAGAGTTACAAACCTGTACAAGAACTGAAAACATCTGTGTATGAGCAGAACTGTGGAGAACATGCTGGAAGGCACTGGGGCTGGTGGGATCTCTGTAAACCCTTGAGTTCAACAACATAGGACAGAAAACACTAAATACACACAAAGAAATTCTCCCATCCCGAGTATGTTCAGATGTCATTTTGTCACTTTATTCACTGTCAACCTGATGGGATCTAGGAGTAGACAGGAAATACACCTCTGGGCACATCTATGAGGGATTTTCTAACTAGGGCTGATTAAGGTGGGAATACACCGCAAATGCAGGTGGCATTATTCCAAGGACAAAGAGAGCTGAGCACAGAGATTCATCTCCATTCTCTGACAGTGCTCCAGTGTGTCCAGCTGTCTCACATTCCTGCCCTACAACACACTTCAACCCGTGAGCCTGACACAAGCTCTCTTCCTTAAATTATAGTAACAGACAAAAAGTAACAGTAACGATACAGTATAGCAGCTGGGCACAGTGGAGAATACCTCTGTTAAACCCAGCACTCAGGAGGCAGAAGCAGGCGTATTTTAACGTTTGGGGCCAGCCTGGTATACAGAGCGAGTTCCAGGACAGCCAGGGAAACACAGAGAAATCCTGTCTCAAAAACCCAAAAGGATACAGTATGGCAAAAGAAAAAAAATACATAGAGTATCCCAACTACTTACACAGTACCCATACAATGCTAAGATGGCTTAAAGTATAGGGCAAATTATACGTGAATCCTATGCTGCTGATGTGAGGAAGTTGGGCATCGTGGATCTTTAGGATCTGGGGACCAATTCCCTACAATACAAAGGATTTTAAAGCATAGGCATAGCAGTGGCACTGAATCAACAGACTTTGTAAACAGACTGTGGTGCAGGTGTGGAGGTGCAGATGCATGTACTGGAGTGTCCAACAAATCACCTACCTTTGGTGCATTTCCAGCCTTGAGGGACCTCACGAGCTCCCCTTGAGCAGCTATGCTGTTGAACAGCTCCAGTGGAGAGGTGCAGGACTCGCCACTGGGCATGTCCGCCATCTTGTAGGACCTAGGCCTGCAGCTGGCTAGTGAGCAGATGTGTTCAGCAGTTGAGACAAGACTCTAGAGGAAAAAATGAAATGGGATTGAGGGCGGGGAACCATGAGCAGATTACTACAGTCGTGTTCCCCCCCCAGCACTCAGCCTTTCTTCCAGAAAAATGTGGAAAGTGCTGAACTGTAACAGAAACTGGGTAACAGCATTAATGGAAAGAGACAAGGAGAAATTTGGGGTCATGAAAAGAAGCGTCAATGCTGACAATGAGAATGACATGCATTAATGGGAGGTACCAACTTGAGGCCAGCAAAGGAGGGCCCCCTAGGTAAACAGTAAGTGGCACATAGTGATATTTGTTCCCATCTAGTGCTCAGAGGAGGAACATATTTGCTCCAAATACCAATGGATTTAGGAAAGCTACATTCACCATAGAGAAAGATACTGCAAAGTGTTGTTTGTTCTTTATCTTCACTGCCTTGAGAACAAACTCTCAGGCTTTTGTAGACATAAAGAACACAGTATTGCCCCACAGTGGCCTCCAGCTGACCCGGGGCTGTGATCTCACAGCAAGGTCTGGGTGGAGGATAAGACCTTCTCTGCCCTGAGTTCTAGACCAGTAAGGATCATGCACCTAGCCATCCGGCATGCTGCCTTTACTTAAGGTTGGGAAGGTATGCCTGCAGCCTCTTGCTATTAGTCATTATTTCTATTGACACTAGAAAGGGTGGAGGCTGGGCCATCTGGAGTACCTGTTGGGTTAGTCACTTTCTTATCTATAAAATGTAACTCTATGAACTATTAACTTATCCCAAGGGCTGTTCTAGAAATTCAAGAGAAAAAAAAAAAAAAACAATGCAGGAACACATTGAACACTGTAAGCAAGATACAACTGCACCTCCAGTCTTGTTATTTCTGGGTTTGGGAGTGAGGGCTCTGGAGATCCACTCAACTCAGCCTCCTGACTTACCTCAATCTGAGGGGAGACACAGGCTGTGCCAGACCAGTAACTCCAAACACCTTGACCTGACACCTTGGTCTAAGTTCATTTATGCACCAAGTCACTTGTTACCATCAAAGTTCAAAGTGGTGAACCAGTGAGTGTTGTGGACCCTCCCCCTGACTCTGAACCAACAAGTTTTACTGGGTGGATGACTCAATGGCAACCATATCACCAAGGCCCACCCAGTGCAGCATGGGTGAAAACCAGTCACCTGGAGCACAGAGCACAGCCAGTAGGTAGCCCAGGTGGTCTGAGACTCTTCTAGGAAGCAGAGCTCCTCTCCGTCTCTCAGCAGTCCTCAAGTGAATGCTTGGGAGAGGGGAGGAACCTAGGGAATCTGGTTAGTTTCAGGGATTTCCTGAAACCATTAAGTTGTTTACTTTCCCAGTTTAATGAGTTTCCCTCCTGCAGGACAGGACCTTTACCCCCCTCTTAGAGTACACTGCTGTTTCACCTCCCTGTCAACATTCTGTGTCACAACAAGCTTCCTATAGGATGGAAGATTTCACCTGGAGGAAACAGCTACAGAAGCCATGTCTGAGACAAGCTAAGGTGGTCTCAGCCACTGTCCTCCACCTACCTACATCTCAAGAGTCGAGAGTAGAGATGTTTGTATTTATCTACTTATTAAACTTAACACCACCATCTTCATATAAGTTAATAAACTCATAATACCAAAGCCAAGATGAGACAAGGGCCATCGGAAATCACCTCACTTGATTCCTAAGGGAAGTTTGTTGAGACATTGACTTGAATAGCAAGGTCTGGTGGCCCAGGGAAGAATGTGGAAGCCAGGGAGTAAGGAAAAACACCCAGTCCCTGCTTTTCTCTGGGTATATTTACTTGGGTCAGATACTAATGAATGTAATAAAAATGACTTCTAGACACAAGGGGTCAAGCGATATCCAGTTTGGACTGTCCCAGTGTCTCAGAAGAGCAAGCTGTAACTGTTCATCCTGTTAACTCAGGGAAACCACAGGGATCTGCCTGAGGTTCAGATCCAGATACTAAATCAGGGTCTGCCCAGAGCCCATCCCAGTCACAGGTCCTGAGTCCCTGCTGTTCCTCCTGTCCAGGATGTCCCGTCCCGTGTCCTTTCCCTCCTCCAAGCCCTGGGGCCATCCTCACCGTGACCCTGGAACATTCTCCTTCTACCTTTGCTATAGCACTTCCTCTGCTGTTGAGTTAGGTGAATCTTGAGTTTGGCGAGGGTGTGTACTAGCTTTACGACCACGAGTTTCTTGGTAAGTTCAACATTTTCCTCTAGGCTTCTCTCTTACATTGTCTTTAAGTGTGGGTTCTAGCTAAGGCATGGTGGTGTACACATCACTTCTAGCCGAGAAGGGGGACTGAGGTAAATTTTAGGCTAGCTTGGCCTATATAAGTAAGACCATTCTGCAACCCCCACCACATAAAACCCCTCCCAAGCCAGCAAACAAAAAAAATCCCAGTGTTTGTTCTAGTTGATGGCTGAGTAAGCCAGGACCTAATGCTATCTCTAGTTTAACACTCTGGCACTGAGCCATGTCCTGTGAGCTGAGCCTGCCAGACCACCCAGGGTCTTTCCCACAGATGTGGGGTTCTGTAAAGACTACAGTCAGTCGTGGTCACAATTGCATTCAACTCCTAGAAAAAGTGCCAAGGAGAATGGGCGAGTGAGCCTGGGACAGGTAGTCTCTTCCCACCGCAATAGGGCTGGAAGCTGGAGTAGTCAGCTAGGGGAACGGGACCTGCATTCAGGCTCCATGCTGTAGGGGAACACCTATCTCTTCAAGTATTAGAATTCTGACTTAGAAGAGGCACATAAACTAAATCTGACGGTGGGAATGATGGGTGAGATCACAAGGCATTCACTCATGCATGGTCACTATTCAAACCTTATGTGTAGGTGCATGAGGGAAAGAGTGAGGGAGACCAAGGCAGTTTCTTGAGTGAATGATGTAGGAATGATTGAGACAGGGAAAACAGCCGCCATCTTCCTTATTTCATGTAGTTACATACTTACCTGTATATTGTGCGAAGAGCTCTCTTCTTTTTCTGTTTGTTAGCTTTTAGAATTAAGCTTAACTTTTTAGCCTGGAGTTCTTGAACCTCTTAAAGTACATTAATGTGCACATTGATTGGATGAATGCAGGTTTAAGCGGTGTCTAAGTTCAGCGTCTGGTGTCCAGAGATGCCAAAAAGCTGAGGGTCACTGTTTGGAGGACTTACCATGTCAACCCCAGATGAGAAGCTGTGTCTTTGCTAAGGAAAGGCTCTTTTACTAACACAACATGGAAGAAAGGTTATAACTAGGCAGTAATCTATTATCCCCTGTAACAAAAGTACCTGGATTGTAAAAATCAAACTGTCCAACACAGAGCAACCACAGCAGGCCTTTGATGAGAAGCCTACTTCCCCTTTTAGGAACTCAGTCTATGGCTCATTTGGAAAGACGCCATTGTTCTGGATCAACGCTGAGGGCTCTTAAAGAAAATGTATACAGCACAGAGAGAGCAGAAGAGATGAGAAGAACTTGGACCACCATGAAACCCACACGGGGAGGAGGATCCACAGAATCTGCAGCCTGAGTGAAGAGGGCAGCCAGATTCCAGCTTGGAAAAAGGGGCTAGCGTAGGAAAGTTTCTAGATACTTTGGGACTGTGACCTCAAAGAGCAGGAAATGATAGCTTCAGACTGACATGATCCCAGAAGACAAAACCTATTTACAGTAAGCAGCTCTTTACACTCCTAAACTTGGGGGTAGACTATAGTCTACTTACTGAAAGGTTATTTTCCCATACAAAGGCACTGGGGATAGAACCCAGAGCCGGGAACATGCCAACCAAGCCTCTCCTAACAGCCAAACTACAAGGCCAGCCCCGTGAACACTGCCTTAAAACAGAAAGACCTTAACTTACAGAGACACACATTAGAGACTTGGTTGCCACGATAAGGATGCCCATGTAGTCAGACACTGAACACATAAGGAGGCCAAGTCAGCCCAAAGCTTTAAAGCTGTCGAAGGGCAAGCTCAGAAGGCAAACAGGCCCCTGGGCACCCACTGCACCTACTCCTCAAAAACAGGGCATGACCTGAACTTGGGTCTACTACATGAAAATAAACGCACACCATTCCAATCCTGACATTGGTCCTTCTCAAAAGTCTTCAGCACTTTCATATAAGGCAGGTTAAGAACCAAAAACCAAACCAAACCAAACCCCACTAAAGCTCCAAGCCTGGCCAAGCTGGCAATACATACCCTGGCTGTGGAGTCTGTGGCCGCTGGTCACAAGGGACAGTTGAGCATAAGAGAATGCCCAGGCAGGGTGGAGGTCTTTAATACTCTCCCTTTCTTTTCTTTCAGTTTCTGTTTCTAGAAGGGTCTATTGTCTTTCTTTCCTGCCTTGCCCTACTCTTTCAGTTTCACTTACTTAGGGGTTTCTGAGAAATCACCCAGATTCTCAGAACATTTTAGCCACTTGGCCAGCTTCCCTAATGATCAAGTCCCTCCAATGACTGGTTGGGCTTGGGGAGGAGGAGGGTGAGACCAATCAAACTCTCAATAGCCCCGAGCTACATGCCATTGCATCAGCTGTCCCTTCTTGAGGTTGACCGCCATGTGACCTCCCCACACGCCCACAGCATCACTGCTATTGTGTGCAGTGGAGAGACGACAGGGAGGGCAGGTCAGCCTGTACCATTCCCTGAGGCTGTCCCGCTCAGAAGTGGTGTACTGCAGCGGAAAGATAACTCCGAAAGGTCAGAGCGAGCCAGCTTTTGATGCTGAGCATCAGCTTGCTTTGAAACCATGGGCAAGTCGCGTTACTTCTCTGCTTCTCCCTCGGGTTCCGGGTCGGTGAAATACGCACCAGGAACCTTCCTAACATTTCGTGGAGGGGACTGCTGGAGACCCTACAGGGCAAAGCTCCAGGCAGTGGGAAACCAGGACAGCGTGGGTGGGCGGCGCCGCCGCAGCCTCCCCGCCCCTCGCGGTGCCGGTGCCCCGAGAACAGCGAGCTCGGTTCGGAGCCGGACTCGCAGGGCTCAGGGCGTGGGCGGTAGCCCAAGGCCCTGGCCCTACCTCGGCGTCCCTTCCTTGCTCCCGGAGCGGCGGCCGCCCACTTCTCACTTACCGGCACCCGTTTGCACCCGCCGGTCAGTACCGCTGGTTCAGTCACCGGTACCTCCAGGGCGTCCTTGGAAACCCCATCCGGCCGGAACAACTTCCGGTCCTGGCATGCCGCCATTGGCTGTCCATTCAGGGGCGGGGCATATCCCACCTCTGATTGGCTGAGGTCCCTGGCGTCGTGCTGGAACGCGACTGGGTGGCGCGGGTGCAGGCCGGACCGCTGTAAGGGAGGACCAAGTGCTTCCGTGTGTGTGGTGAGCCGCGGGCCTGGGCGGGATGGGGCCGGGACCTGGTGGCCGCGTGCTTCCAGCCTCTTAGCGTCAGGCTCAGGGCGCCGCTCGTCTTCCTTTTCTTCCCATTTCTTCCTCGAGTGCTTTGAACGCTACCCACGATCGTTGGCAGCTTGGCTAAGTTCTCATCCTTCAAAGCCCGTGTCTAGGGCGATCTTTTTGTTTCCCCTCATGGATCTGTGGCCTCCGGGGCAAGATCCGAGTTTAATTTCTTCCCACATCAGATCCAGCATAGAGCTAAGCACAGACTAGGTAACAAGGAATTGTTTGTTTAACGGGAAAAACCGTCTGCCTTAACTTCCTCAGCATCCTGCCTCACCAGATTTCAGTCTACAAATAACATCTAGAGCAAGGGTTCTTGGATAGTGAGCAAAACACATAGGACACCCTGCCCACATATCCGTGCCCCCGTTAGCTGTTTACATTTTGTTATCCGTCCTCATTGCCTTTCCCCCCATTTAGGCTCTTCCTCTCGGGTTCACCACACCCCCTTTTCCCATGACATCTCTTGGACGTGGGGTACAACATGGCAAACATCACCTCCTAAACTGCGTGTACTCCTGTCAGCCTTCTCCCTTCAGGCATATTTTCTTGACTCACCCTTGATTCCTCTAGATCGTCGTTGGTTCTGCTGTTTTGACTCAGCACTGTGACCACCTTGGTTCCCACAGCCTCTCCAGAGTGTCACACAGGTGTACTCTCTCTGAGGCCTGTCTCAGCTCCGTAAGGACATGCAGTCCTGGGCCCAACTACTCTCCTCTCCTCTTCCTTTTCTCCCTTTGAGTTCACTTGCCATGGCATCCTCTGGGCTGCTTGTGGAGTGGGGGATGTCTTTGCCTCTCTCCCTATGACTTGTGAGTGTGCAGAGTGAAGATCATTAACTGTTTTGCCTATGTTGCAGCTGTTGAATGAGTGAAAGAGATCTACACATGGTGGAGTGCGTCAGGAGTCCAACATCTTGCTGGAAGAAGTCACTCAGACATTTCCCCCCCGCCCTGTGGAGCTGACGGGCTACTATTGTGAGTCAACCCTGCAGGTAACTGTGTGGCTTGAAATCCAGGTCTGTGAACGAGGTCTATGTGGTCTGGTGGTGGGTTCCATTTGACAGCTAGGGACAGGAGCTTGGCCTCCAATCCCTGCTGAGCATGTAGAGATTCAATGGTTTGAAGAGCATGGTTCCACCCTTGTGTAATTAGTCCCCAGTGTGCTCTTGGTTCATTTGGACAGTGGCTGTCTGGTTTTAGAAGTCCTGTTTAGAAGACAACGTTAGACGTGGGCATTGGCGCTTGCCTGGACTCAGTGAGCGGCTGGTGGCAACAATGGCTACAGACACTGCATGATGAACGTGCCTGGCAGTGGAGTTCTTAGATGAACTGTGCTGTCAGAGGGACAGGCGCCAAGGGCTTTGGATGGGATGTGGACACCCAGTGTGCGCCTGGCATGGTGATGTGTGCCTGTTATTCCAGCACTCAGAGAGCCGAGACAGGAGGACTGTGAGACTAAGACCAGCCTGGCTTATGCAGTGAGATCCTTGTCTTAAGAGTATGGGGCCAGCCGGGCGTTGGTGGCGCACGCCTTTAATCCCAGCACTCGGGAGGCAGAGGCAGGCGGATCTCTGTAAGTTCGAGGCCGGGCTGGACTGACAGCCTTCAAAACAATACAGAGAAACCCTGTCTCGTAAAAACCAAAAAAAAAAAAAAAAAGAATATGGGGTCAGAGAGGCTCAGCTGTTAAGAGCACTTGCTTTGAAATCATGAGGACCAAAGTTAGGATCCCAGAACCCAGCCAGGCATTACACACTTGCTTGTAACCTAACCTCTAAGAGGTAAGAGAAAGGAATACCGTGCCTCAGAGGAATTGTTGGAAAGCAATAGAGGAGGACACAGGATGCCATGTTCTGGCCTCCTTGTGTGCGGGAGCACAGGTTCGCACGCTCCCATAGGTATGCATGCACTCACACAAACAATCCATGAATTAAATGTAAAACTGAAAACGTGAGGCCAGGTGGGGTTTCTTTATTTGGGAAGTTGGTCCATGGCCCCGGCTTGCGCCCTGTCCCACCATGCCCTCTGCTGGTAGTGATACATTTAGCACCCGTATTTTATTCCTTGCTGGTACTTGCTCTTCCCTTCGTGGAAGGGAAATATTGGATTCTAAAGCAAAACACCTCTTACTGAGAACTAGCTGATAACAATTTTGTGATGGCTCAGAATTCCAGGAAGAATTTTAGAAAAGGAAATCCATTACCAGGTGAATCTGTACATTTGGGGTGAGACACAAATTTGAATGCCACGATCAGAATTGCTCTTGCCACACTTGCGTAGGTAGACTGGTGCCTGAGCATCCGGCCCTGGGCTTTGGCATGCCAGGTAGGTGCTCTGCTATTGCTCTACATCTCCAGAAGCTTGTTTTCTGTGTTTTCCTTTGATTGTTTTTAAGACAGGGTCTTGCTATATATCCTAGGGTAGCCTGAAATCGTAACCCTCCTGCCTCAGCTTCATGAGTGCTGGGCTCACGGGCGGATGCCACCTAAGCTTACCTTTGTTACCTTCTTCATCCCTTTCTTCACGCTCCCTCCTCTCCTGCTTTGTGGTGTTGAGGGGCAAACCCGGAACCCTGAATGTCTGAGCAAGTGTCTGCCAGCAAGCGTCATCCCCAGCCCCACATAGGTTTCCATTTTAAAATTGCATGTTCTAAGTATGTCTGCTGAATAGGAAATCCATTTATTTTTAAAAATTACTTAAGTCTTTATATATTATATAATGTTTAAAATAGGGTATACATACCATTTCCTCATGCCATCTCTCTAAAATACATTCCCCTCCTTCCCTCCCTCCTTCCCTCCCTTCCTGTCTCCCTCCCTTTCTTTTTAACATTTACTTGTTTATATATTTGGGTGATGGCGCATGTGTTGCAGTCAGAGGACAACTTTCACGAATTGATTTTTCTCTTTTCATTATGTAAGTTCCAGGGATCAAACTCAGGTCTTTAGGCTTGGCAGCAAGGGCATTTAACCCACTTGAGTCATCTTGCTGGCCAAAACATCATTTATTATTAATTTTTCCTTTATAAAAATATGCTTTCTACCTTTACTTGTGTGTGTGCATATATGTTGGTGAGTGGGTGTGTATATGTTAATGTGGGTAGTCGTGGAGGTCAGAGCAGGGTGCTGGACCCTTAGGAACCGGGGCTACATGTGGAGCTGAATTTCGATCTTCTGGAAGAGTAGTATATACCGTTAGCCACTGAGCTGTCTGTACCACCGCAGACATCATTTCTTTTATGTTGAAATGAAAACACAGCCTTGGGGCTGGAGAGATGACTTACAGTCAAGTGGATGACTGCACTGCTCTTCCAGAGGACTCAGGTTCAATTCCAAGCACCCACATGGTAGCTCCCAACTGTCTGTAACTCCAGGATCCAATACCCTCACACAGACATACAAATAGGCAAAACACCAATAAAATAAAAGTAATTAAAAAAAGAAGAAAATGTAGTTTTATTGTTTATGTGTTTGTGTTAGCGGGGTTTGAAGTCTTAGATTTCAAGTACAGAACAATTTTCCTGTTCACAGTTGCTGACTCTTGACCTTGTTTAGTTATAGGAAGCCCTTTGTGTACGCATGGCCTCGCTGGTGGCATATGATGATTCTGACTCCGAGACTGAGACCGAGCCTACCACAAGTGTGAACTCTGAAGATCAGATAGATGATGCCTCTGCCATGACCAGACCTTCTGGGATGGGTTTTACATCTGGTACAGTGGATGTGACAAAAGAGGGAGCTCAACACATAGGGGACAGTCCTTCTGAAGACACAGGGGACCGACGTCTGCCGCTGGCTCGGATCTGGAGAAGTCCCCCGGGATCTTGTCCCAGCCAGAGGCTACAGTGGCCCTCTGAGGACCCGGATACTGCCTTTCCCGTCAGTGAGCCTCCTCGCCCTTCGTGGATGAGCCGCGCTCCAGCCGGCCACGTGCCTCTGGCAGCTGCCTGCTTAAAGCCAGTGAAAGCTGCGTGGGCTGCCCTCCGCTCATCTTCTCATGCTCAAAGCGAAGTTGAAAGCACTTCTGGAATCGCCAGCTCTTCTCAGAGGAAGAGAGGTGAGGACTGTGTGGTCCCCTATATCCCCAAGAGACTGAGGCAGCTGCAGGCACCGAATCCAGAAGGTGGGGGCAAAGACAAAGAACCTCCGGGACCCCCTGCAGGATGTGCCCCAGCGCCCCTCTGTGTGCCTCCCACAGTGTCTGAGTTCATCCAGCCGTTTTTGAACAGTCAGTATAGAGAGACCAAGGTCCCCAGGAAAGTGCTTTTCCACCTGCGAGGCCACAGGGGCCCTGTCAACAGCATTCAGTGGTGTCCAGTGTTCTGTAAGAGCCACATGCTTCTCTCTACTTCCATGGATAAGACCTTCAAGGTAAGGTGAGGGGAAGAGCTCACAGGGCCTTCCTGGGATACTACACTGATTAGCGTCAGGCTGTGGGTGGACACAGGCTACACACCCCCTTTTGCAAATTTTTGTAGCTCCTTTTTGGTACATCTGTGAGAGGGTTCTCAGATACTTGGTTTTCCGGCCCTGTTCTTTTCCTTTTCCAGAGCTGCTTTGCCATAGCACTACAGTGTTAAATAAATTATAGTATGCCCAGACGACGATAAACCCATTACTTCATTGTGTGCGCTATTTTATAATACGTACCCAAGTACGCCATAATTCATCTCCTTTCCTGATTTGGACACTTCATCACCTTTCAGTAGCACATTCCCGTGAGCCATGCTGCTGTAAACACTCTCTGCTCATACATTTCCCCTGCCAGACCCTGATGGTTATTTGTAGAGGGTCCCCCATAGCAGCAGTCCAGGCTACTCCACAATAGTCCAGGTATAAGAACCACATTTCTCATGTGCTCATAGCCCTGAACATTGTTTCTTTTAACCCTTTGCTAATAAGCTGGGATGCTTCATCTTGCTTCACTTTGAACTCTGGTACAGAATGATCAGCACTTGACTTTTGATAATCTAGCTTTGGAGACCTGTCTGTCTGTCTGTCTGTCTGTCTGTCTGTCTATCTATCTATCTATCTATCTGTCTGTCATTGAGACAGGGTTTCTCTATGTAGCCTTGGCTGTCATAGAACTAGCTGTGTAGACCAGGCTGGCCTCAAACTTACAGGGATCCTCTTGTCTCTGCCTTCTGAGCTGGGATTAACAGTGTGTGCCACCACCTCCCAGCCTATTTATTGATTGATTGAGACGGGTCTCTCTATGTAGTTCTGGCTGTCTTGGAACTTGTACAGCCTATGTAGACCAGGCTGGCCTTGAACTCACAGAGACACCTGCTTCTGCCTCCCCTATGCTGTGTTTAGAAGGCTTGCATCACCACACCCTTCTAGCTTTGAAGGTCTTTAAATCAAGCAACAAACAAGTCTGGGGAGATGACTTGGTCAGTAAAGTGATTGCCTTGCAAGTATGAAGACTTGAGTTTGGATCCCTGGAATCTAAGTAAAAAGTCTGGCAAGGTGGCATGCACCAGGTGGGTCCCTGGAAGTTCAGAGGCCAGAGAGTCTGGTCTATACAGCAAAGTTCCAGACCAGTGAGAGACCCTATCTGAAACACAAGGTAGAAGGCACATAGGGCTGTCCTCTTACCTTCTCATGTGTGCCGTGCATGGTGTGCTTGTACACACACATACACACACACAGACACCCAGAAACACACACACAGATACATAGACATACGCCGACACAGACACACACAGATGCATACAGATACATACACAGAAACACAGAGACATGTACACAGACACACAAAGACACACAGACATACAGAGAGACACAGATAGATACACAGACATACAGAGACACACACACAGATACATACACATACAGATACACTAGACACACACAGACAGATACAGACACAGAAACACACATATGCATACAGACACACACAGAGACACAGATGCACAAAGACACACACAGATACATAGACACAGACATACACACAGACACACAAAGATACACAGACACACAGATATACACAGACACACACAGAGACAGACACATATACACACACAGACACATATACACACAGAGACACACAAAGACACATACACAGAGACATATACACAGACACACAGACGAGACACAGACACAGAAATACACCTATACATACAGACACACAGGCACAGACACACAGACACACACACAGATGCACAAGACACACAGAGACACACAAAGACACACAAGACACATACACACACAGAGACACACAAAGACACAGACACACAGACATGTGCACAGACACACAAAGACACATAGACATACAGACACATACAGATACACAGACACAGACACACAGGCACACACACAGATGCACAGAGACACAGACACACAAAGACACACAGACATAGACACACACGGATACCCAGAGATGCAGACACACACACAAAGACACACAGAGATACAGACACAGACATACACACAGACACACAAAGATACACAGACACAGGTATACAGGCACACACACAGATGCCCAAAGACACACACAGACACACAAATACACACACAGACACACACAGCTACACAGAGACACAGACACATACATACAGACACACAAAGATACACAGGCACAGGCACAGGCACACACAGATACACACAGACACATACATAGACACAGAGACACACAAAGACACAGACATACAGTCACACACAGATACACACGGGCACACACAGACATACAGACACACATAGAGACACACAAAGAAACACATATACACAGACACACAAACAAATACAGACATACACAGATACACACAAAGACACACAGACACAGGCACACACAGACATACAGACACACAGACACAAATGCTCACACAGAGACACACAAAGACACAGACATACAGACACACACAGATACACATAGACACAGGCACACATAAACATACAGACACACAGATACATACAGACACACACAGAGACACACACATATACACAGACATACCAAGACACACAGACATACAGATACACACAGACACAGATACACACATACAGACACACAAAGACACACACACAGACACAGGCACACACAGATATACAGACACACAGATACACACACAGACACACAAAGACACACACAGACACAGGCACACACAGACACATAGACATACAGAGACATACACACACAGACCTGTACACAGGTACACAAAGACACACAGATACAGACATACAGAGACATACACATACAGACCTGTACTCAGGTACACAAAGACACACAGACATATAGAAACACACAGACACACACACACACAGACACACAGACATACAGATACAATCAGACACACGCAGATACACACACAGAGACACACAAAGACACAGACACACAGACATACAGACACACACAGAGATACAGACACAGGCACACAGATACATACAGACACACACAAACACACAAAGACACACACAGACACAGGCACACACAGACATACAGACACAGACACACATAGATACACTCAGACAGAGACAGACTCACAGACATACAGAGACGCATACACAGAGACCTGTACACAGATACCCAAAGACACACAGACATACAGATACACACAGATACACACAGACACAGGCACAAACAGACATACAGACACACTGATATACACACACACATACACAGACACACAAAGACACACAGACATACAGACACAGATAAATACAGAGACAGATACACAGACATACAGAGACACACACACAGACATGTATACAAACACACAAAGACACAGACATACAGATACACACAGATACACAGACACAGGCACACACAGATACATATAGACATACAGACATATACACAGACACACAACAACACACAGACATACAGACACACATAGACACATAGGTACACACAGATACACACAGACACACAGATACTCAGAGATACAGACACAGACACAAAGATACACAGACACAGGCACACACAGAGACACAGAAACACACACAGACACATACACACAGACACACGCACACACAGACATACACACACACAGAGACACGCACACACAGACATAAATACACACACAGACACACACAGATACATACACACGTACACACAGACACAGACACACAGACATACACACACACAGATACACACAGATACATTCACAGACACACAGACATACACATAGACACAGACACACACAGATATAGACACAGAGAGACAGATACACAGACATACAGAGACACACACACACACAGATTTATACACACACAGACACACACAGAAACACACATATACATATAGACATACACAGTCACACAGACACAGACACACAGGCACACACAGACACAGAAACACACATATACAGATATACACAGTCACACAGACACAGACACAGACACACAGGCACATACACAGACACACAAAGACACAGACACTCAAAGACACACACAGACACAGATACACAGACACACAGAGACACAGACACGCAGATATAGACACAGAGAGACACAGATAGATACACAGACATACAGAGACACACACACAGATACATACACACACAGACACACAGGCACACACAGATACAGAAACACACATATACAGATACACACAGTCACACAGACACAGACATACAGGCACATACACAGACACAAAGACACAGACACAGGCACACATAGATACACAGAAAGACACACATAGATACACAGAAAGACACACAGAGACATACACACAGACACACACAGACATACAGACACACACAGACATACAGACACACACAGATGCACACGGACACACAAAGACACAGACATAAAGACACAGACACAGACATACACACAGACACACAAAGATACACAGACACAGGCACACACAGATACACAACAGACACACACAGACACACAAACACACACAGAGACACACAGAGACATATACACAGACACATAAAGACACACAGACACAGACATACACACACAGACACACAGACACAGACATACACACATACACACAAAGATATACAGACATAGGCACACACAGATACACAATAGATACACACAGACACACACACACAAACACACACAGAGACACACAGATACATATACACAGACACACAAAGACACACACAGACACAGATACACAGAGACACAGCCACACACACAGACACACAAAGATACACAGACACAGGCACACATAGATGCACACAAAGACACACAGAGACATACACACAGACACACACAGACATACAGACACACACAGATGCACACGGACACACAAAGACACAGACATACAGACACAGACACAGACATACACACAGACACACAAAGATACACAGACACAGGCACACACAGATACACAACAGACACACAGACACACACAAACACACACAGAGACATATACACAGACACACAAAGACACACAGAGACATACACACAGACAC